ATTTTCGCTCAAGCGAGCGTCCGTCTCGCTCATACGAATCTTAGGTCGAAAATATTTTTTCTTTTTTTTCAATTTTTCTTCAATTATCTTGAGAATTATGATCATTACTCTTGTACCCAGGTATTTTGCAAATTCATCCTACATTAGAAAAAAAAAATATTAAAATCAACATAATTTAAGTGATTAAATAATAATTAAAAACATAATTACATCAACTTTTACCACTTAACAATTTAACCACATAAATATCACACTCTCATAATCAAGTATTTTTTTTGGTACCATTCGACATTTCTAAGTCACCACCTCAATATTAATCATCATATACACAAACATATCATTTTTGGATCACTACCTAAGAATAAGTTTTTCAACGTGTATCAACATATACATCAACCAATTTTGGATAATTACCTTATATTTGACTTGTCTACATGTATTAACATGTATGTATTAGAACTAAACACCAACCCTTATATACATAGTTATCACTTATCCCAAAATAGAGGTCCTTGAGTATGATATTATAATGAGTCATTCTTATTTTTATGAATATGACATTATTATTGACGTATTAGTCCAATTAATATAAATGTGACATATATTATTCAAATATAATCATCATGATAATGTGATTGTAGCCTTTCATCAAGGACATTAATGGAAGATACAACATTTACTCACCTTTAAAAGAAATTAAATCAAATTGATAATAAAAATAGTAATACAATAAAATTAAAAAAAATTAACCAAACATTTAAAATAAAACTTATAAAGTTGACGATCATGTTATTGCTAGCAATTTTTATTTTTATTTTTATAAGATGGCAATGTTGTTAAGATCTTATCAAAAATCAATTTAAGCAGCGGTGTTACAAGTCGAATGAGTTAGACATCTCCATCAAGATGTCAAAGGCTAGAGCTAGCATGGATGATGCAGAGTCTTGAACCACACGAAGAGGAGCACTATCACCAATCAGTGCCTTTGGAAGTTGAGGGACATACATTATTAAACCAACGACCTTAATAGGAATTATTCTTGCGAAGAAGTGAGGAAATTATAATAACGATTTCTGTTTGTAAGGGTTTTTAACAAAGCAAAATTGATGGGGCAGTTTGTGCACCATATTCATTCTCATCTACAACTAGATAACAACAATGAGTAGTGGGTATGAGATCCTTCAACGTTAATAATATTACTCCATCCTCCTCCTCATGATTTATATTCTCTTTTTTTATATCCCTTTTCATTGTGGAAAATAGGTCCCCACCATTTACACCTTCTCTTTCAAATCTTATCTACTCACAACTACTCAATACATGCCTAAACCTAATCTACCAATTCTTATTAAAACTCGTATGTACCTATTCTTCACATTTATCAATAATAAACATAATCACTCGATAATATAAAGAATATTATAATATATTCAATTATTCACAAGTCATTTTTTATAATAATATTATTTGTTATTCAAAATAAGTAATAATAAATATCATATAAATATCACATTAACACGTTTCTTATAAAAATTTACTAATCAAGTACAAAGTACTTTTAACCTATAATTAAGATAACAATAAGTACGAAATTAGATTTTAGTTTTGATAAATGTTAAAATTTTAATATAAAACTATTTGATAATATGTGAAATAGTTTAATAGATATTTAAATCAAGATAGGTGACAAGACATCTAACGATTATATTTGAAACTAATGTTGATGATAGTTAGACAATATAGCGTTCTTAAATATAATATTTTAAGGTGAATTATGCTGAAGTTTATACATTTGTTGTTATCATACCTATAATCTTGATTGCATTTTATGAAAAGAAAATATATTAAGTAATTCATTGTTCTAGGTTATATATAATGAGAAAACCAATCTTATAAAAATAAAAAAAATAAATTTAGACAATGTAATTAATCATGTATGAATACTAAAAAGTTAAAATGGAAGAATCAATTCATGTTGTATAAGAAAAAATATTAATGTAAAGTTCATGTTTAAATTTTTTTTTTATTCTTGCATAAAAATATTCTCATTAAATAAATTTTTTATTTTTTATTTTCCTCAATAGAAATAGAAACCATCAATAATATAGTTAGCAAAAATTAAAAAAAAATATTGTATTACAAATTCCAAAAAATAATGTAACAAATATATTTAATTGTTTATAATTTCAAATTTTGGGATGTTAAGAAGATTTATTAATTGATTTTACAAATAATATACATGTAATGAAAATAATTTTTATTTAAAATATAAATATATCATTGTAAAATCTCGAATCTTAGTCATAATTTTATCTTGATTTTTCTTAAATAAATTGAAACTTTCTTAATTTTTCTTAAATAAATTGAAACTTTGTTAATTAAAAAAAAATCAAATTAAATTCATACCAACGCGGATTGATGTAATTGTTGCCAATTTTATAATCAAAATAAATCATAATAAATCGTAATCTTTACTTTGTTAATTTGATTACAAATAGATGTTAACCATGTTTGGAGGAATTTAACAAATGTGACCTTTTGTATGTATCTTTCTTTTGTTTATTATTCTTGTATCTCTTATTAGAGTGGTTATGCCCTACGTTTGAGCTTCTCTGGTGATGCTGTTATTTGTTATACTTGGCCCTTTTGCACGTGTAAAACTCAGGAAAAGTGTGCAATTATTTATAACTATGACAAAGAAAAAGTACTCATTCCCCATCATAGACTATATATATATATATATATATATATATATATATATATATATATATATATATATATATATATATATATATATATATATATATATATATATATAATCATCTCATTTTTGTAGTATGATAATGTATTCACATGAAAATAGTTTGCAAATAGGGCAGTGTCATCAACACCATAATCATTATTCCCCCAAACTGCAAGGAACATAATATTTCAGAAAATGAAAAACATGCATCATTTGATCTGATACAAAACATGTTGGTCGGTAAAGGATATATGAATTCATGGACTCATATTTGTGCTGGGGAGAATTTCCATGATAGGTTCTATATGTATATGATATCCACGAAGTTTAACGTGGTTGATCCCACTAAACATGTCTACTTCCACGAACCAGAAGAGGTCAAATCTGGTACGAACAACATTACAACACAACTTTTGAATGAAAAAGTGAGCGAATTGACCCTCTGCCACTGCAACTTTGCACGGATAAAGCTACTACTATTCCTTTCCCACTATGCAGCTTGAGACGACAATATTGTACTTCTGGGCATAGCTTACAATTTAGCACGAAACCACTACAACTTCGTTGCACACTATTACTCATAAATTCATCCCCTAGTGCTACATGAACTTGTTTGACAAGCAACCAACCACCATTACACGAGGACACTTCTGGTTTCAGGTTTTAAATAACATCTACCATATATTGTTTCAGGTTTTAAATAATATCTCTCGCATATCTTTCGTATATACCACTATTTTTTCACATATTTTGCTATCAAAATTTGAATCTTCCACTGAAATGGAATAACTTTAAGTTAATCTTGAATTAGAATTAGAATATAAAGCCAACCATTTGTGACTCAACTAATAAAAAGAGTCTCCAGGGTTAAATGACACATAAGATTTCTAATTATCCAAAAACATTTATAGAAAAACCTTTGCTTTCCATCCAGCCACATTCAATTTCACGTTGATTGACATGAAAGGTCAAATTGCCATTCAGAGAGAAGCAGCTCATTTTTTTAACAGACACCAGAAAAAGGATGGCTACACTCAGCAAAAACTATAAACAAAACTGGTATCATATTTTGATAACTCATTTTTTATATATAATTACTTCACAATTCTTTTATAATAAATAAAAATACTATATAAAAAAACTATTATCATCTTAAGAAGATTGTCATGTAATTATAATTATATATATATATATATATAAGTTGAAACCTCATAAACCAGAAATCCACATTTATATACATAGCCACAATGTCACGTTTTGTTAACGTTGCCAACCTTATAAACCAGAAACCCACATACATATGCATTATGGAAAATGGAAAGGAAAGGCTGGTAAAGAGTTGAAAATGGAAATACCAAAGAAAAACGAAATGTGACATGCAAGGCTCAATGAGACAAGTGCTCGAGTCATGAAAAATCACTGGGAAACGATGGTGATGGAAGAAGAAAGGGAATATGGATCACGTGGTTAAAACTTCAAAGCAGTTTGGTGGTGACCATTTGGAAATGCTTTTAGTTGCAATAAGATGTGGCCTTGTTGGGCTCCAAATGGTTCCATGAATCACAACAAAAAGGGAAATTCCAAGATAAAACGATAAACCTGTCGGTGTTGAAACCATTATAAGATTTCTTTTTAATTGGAAAGGGGAAAATTTACTAGGAATCATTTGATTTGTGAACATATTTTCTTTTATTTTACTTTTAAGAGTTTTTTTTTTTAAATTTTTGTTTTCATTATTACCAGTATAAACTTTTGAAATTGGAAAATAGAATAGAAACAAAACCGAGGTTCCTGTAATCTTTAGCTGACGACAAAGAAATCGCTTTAATATTAAAAGACAAGTTTATTGGAGGAATGAAAATAAAAATCTAATCTGATAGATTTTGTCTTCAACCTCTTTATTTTTCAATTTCATAACTAAACAAAAAGCCAGAAAAGATCTAAACCAAAAAACATCAAACACATTACATTTCTTTTTCCAATCTTGTTTTTTTCAAGATGCATGTGACATTTCTCAAAGGTTACAAAGGATAAGGAAAAATGATCACATGCTAAAACGACCCCCAATAACTATAACTTGATTAGGTTCTCTTCTGAAGTGGTTTCCAATGACCAAAACCATTCCAAAGTCAACACGCACACATCCCCACAGACACACACATATACTTAGTTCTTTGGCCATCCAAATTTGTACATACAGCACTTTTGAAACTATTGGGTTTTAATCTTCTCCCTTTTGTAAGATGTACCCAATCAACTACTCTTTGGGATTCACAACGTTGGACACGGTCTTTTCCTTTAGTTCTTTTGCAAGCAAGTCAATGGAATCTGAAACTTCAACCCTATATACATAGAACCTAGTAACAAACGCGAAGAAGATGAGGTTGAGGAAGTTTAGCACTGCGAAAAATGCATAGTAGTAGTCAAGGTGAGACTCATTCAGATTGTTCAAAATCCACCCCTTGTGACCATTTTTCTTGGTGACATGTGACACTGTTGAGAGAAGAAAGGAACTGATGAAGTTACCAACGCCTAAGGTAGTTGTGGAATATGAAGTTCCAATGCTCTTCATATGTTCTGGGGCTTGATCATAGAAAAACTCAATTTTAGCAACCTCTAAGAAGGCATCAGCAGTTCCCATTAGTATGAACTGAGGAAGCAAAATGAATATGCTCAAGGGGACCTGTGCTCCACTTTCAACTACTCCATGTTCTCTTGCAACCTTGAGTCTATAGCTTTCAGTCCCAGATGCAATGATCATGATCAGTGTGTGGATTACGAGGCCAATTCCCATCCTCTGAAGAAGGGTAATGCCTCTGGGGTTCTTGGTAAACCTTTGCATGATCTTCACAAAGAAACGGTCATAGAGCACAACACACACAAGCAATGACACAGTAACAAATGCAGCCAAACTTGCTGCGGGGATTTTGAAGCTTCCGATGTGTCTGTCAAGAGTAGTTCCTTGCTTCACAAAAAGTGTATTTATTTGAGCCATCATTGTACTAGGAACAAATGTAGCAATCAAGATTGGAATCATCCTTAGCATTTGTTTTGTCTCCTCTACTTGTGTAACAGTGCACAGCATCCATGGACTAGTGTTTGAATTTGTTTTGACGCAGGCCTTATCAAGGAACCTTCACAAATATGCATGACCATTATTAAGAACATGATAATTGCATTGTAAAACTACGCTCATCAAGTGTAGAAATTATCACTGGTCCGGGACCGCAAGGTCAATCTCCAAGAGACATTTATTAAAAATTTTAAGTAAATTGAAAAATATATTCATGCCACGTGGAGATCAGTTGGAATCACATGCTTTGGATCAATAATAATTGTTCTATCAATTGGAGGAGAAGGTAGGATAGTATTTTGTACCTCAGGGTTGGAGTGGAATCAATTCTGTAGCTCCCTTTCTTTGCATACTCTTCCTTGTCAAGCTCATATAGTTCTTTGGAGTTACTAGGGACAGGCACTTCCCATTTCCTCAAAGCAGCCACAATGACCCTAGCCATTCTAGTGAAGGTACTCCCAGCAGGCACTTTGTGCCTGTAGAAGGGTGTCCCTGCCAGGAATATCATGATTGATACTAAAAGGCCAAGAGTTGGAAGAGCATACCCAAGAGTCCAGCCCACATTATCTTGGATATACACTAGAACACTGTTTGCAAAGAGGGTCCCAAAGAAGATGCTGAACATCCACCAATTGAAGAAAGAGAGCTTATGCAACTTCTCTTTTGGATGAAAATCATCAAACTGGTCAGCTCCTATGGTGGAGATGTTGGGCTTGGTTCCTCCAGTTCCCACTGCTAGAGTGTAAAGTGCACCATAGAACACTGCTAGCTGTAGTGTGGAGGCCTTCGCGCACTTTGTCACATCCTTTTCAAAGCATTGAGGTGGCTTTAGGCTTGGAAGGGACACTGCCAGTGTAAGCAGAGACATACCCTGCCATGACCAATCCCAACACAGATGTAACAATCATACAATCCCAACTAATTAATTAATTTGGCAGTTTAAACAGTATGCACCACCAAATTCTAGTCCAAAAAGTTATCCTATATATTAAAAAGTTTCAGATTTTACAAAACCTACTTTATGGGTCTTACTCTGGCTTTTATGTCTCGATCTACATAATTAATTGTGCGGTGATTCTACAACGCCTTTCTCCTGATTATGCATGCATATAGAAGTAGAGTTGGGGTTGAGATTAAAAGAGTATGCAAACAAGAAGTTTATCTGAGTATATCATTGGATTTATTGAGTAAAATACTAAAAAGTTATAATACATAATTATATATAGTAAGTATTATAAAAACAGGTGTCAGATTTTCACTTTATATGTCATTAACATCCATCCATCGTTTTTCACAGGTTCCATTTAGACAATTTTGTTTTGTTATTGGATTCTCCTATGCAACTTGTTACTTGTCTTTATTCGTGGCTCACTCTCATGCCCCAGGACCGCACCTGCCCCAGTACTTGACTTGAGCTTGATATATAGTTTTGGACTTAGTGTGGTTTACTTGTTTATGCTACACTTTTACTTCATGCAGGTACAAAAACATGATAACCTATATTGTGGACCTTAAAAACCACACATACTTTAGAAGGGTGCACACACAACCTTGAAAAGCGCGGTCCACTAGCGTCACAAGTATGAAAAGAATGCCACATGCTTTGAACCAAACTAGACAGTAGATAATGACAGGGACACTTTCCTACTACCTTTCATTCTTTTTCTTATACAACACTGCCATGAGGTCAAATCTTTAATACTTTCCCGATATCATAACATGTCTTATCTGAATTCTATTAGAGATTCAGTTTACAAAATTAATAATGAAAAAAAAAAATCAGTGGGGAACAAAAGTTCAATTTCATTCTATCGTCACTGTTTATCATTGTTTAATTACATATGATTAGATTTAATTATGTAAAAACAAACTGATGTTTAATGAGTTCTCTATCTTTCTCTTTCTCTCTCTCTCTATATATATATATAAAGAATTATTGATAATTGATAAACATTACTCTAACTTTTCTCTTTGTTTTCTTTTACCTGTTTCTCTAACTTTTCTTACGTCCAAAGATTATAATTCTGGTCTTATATTTATATATTTAATATAAAATAGCAATACTAAAATTTTTTATAACTGAAATTAAACATCACAGTCATAAAAATAGTATGCCATCTCAATAATCATTCATCCTCAAAAGTCAAGTTCCGAATCACTGGCTGAGCTGCAAGATTCTTTTGTTTGTCTACTAGAATCAATAATCAAACGCGAGAGTTAGTGTATTATTGGTCCAGCGGTAGCTACTGTCCACTTATCATTCTATCAATATTGCAAAAGAAAGAAATGCCAAAAAGTCTTTGATCCTAAAGGTTGAAAGTGTTAGGCTATACAGTAGCTTCATTTGGTTGGTTGGTTCTTGCCAGATTTCTATGTAGAGTAATCAGCAAGTGACATGCAATATGGTATCAAACTACTAAATCATTTTAATTAATCTTATATAGAATTCATGCTGAAATATGTATAAGAATTTTTCTTAATTAATAGCTTACACTAAACAACACATTTTATCCATTATATTTACATGCATATCTTAGTATTAAAATACCTTTGTATTTATCAATGCATCACTATATTATTTAAGAAATTTGACATGTGATATTATTTTAAAAATAATTTAATACGACATTAATATATATATATATATATATATATATATATATATAAAAAAAAACTAGAACCAATAATGCAATCAAAATAGAGTACTAACAATTAGTATATTCCCTATGGCAGTCAATTTTTGGATGAAAAATATAGAATCAGAGTTATGGTCAAGATTAACGGGCTTAAAATATCAAGATGTAATATATAACTTTATGATCATTTTAATATTCAGAAGAAGAAGCACCAAGGATCTTGGGTGAAACTTTTCCAAGTTTCTAACATGTGGGAGTGGAGTGTTGAAGGGTAATGATAATGCCACCGAGGCCTAAGGTATGGAATTCACCAAAGCCAGACACAGTGACCTTTGACTTAAATCAATCATGTTACAGTTAATATATTTAAAAACTTGTGCCCATCGTATTCTGCTCTACACTCACTTTCCAGAATTTTCAAATATATTAATAAAATTATCTGTTTCATTACCTATTGATAATTAAACAAATACTATATTAAGACATTAAGAGTTAAATGTGTGGACTAAATTATGTGGCATATTATTGAAAATGGAATAAGTAATAATTAACATGAGAAGTCCAAGTAGCTGAACGAGGTGGAATGAACACGATAATAGCTTCTAATAAGAGATTATACTAAATGAAGGACAGAGTAGTATTAAAGTGTATGTGGGGACAAAAGAAGAGAAAAATTATGGTAAGGGAGAGTTAATTACCGAGAGATAAATGGTGGAGGCAATGACAAAAGTCCAATAGCGACCAAGGAAAGCGTCAGCAACGTAGGCACCTAGGATTGGTGTCATCCAAATGGTGCCAACCCAGTTGGTGACATTGTTTGCAGAGGTTACTGTGCCTTGATGAAGCTTTGTTGTAAGATACAGGATCAAATTTGATGATATTCCATAATAAGCCATCCTTTCGAATACCTCATACACTGCATCAACATATTAATTCAAACCTCAATTAGCTTTCTTCATTTTTAAATTACAAACACTTAACCCTTGGTTTAGCCAATCTTTTTGTTTTTCGTAATTAAACTAAGTCACGTGTAAGTAGAAAACGAGGAGATACGTCACCTCGTCAAATATATCATACTATGGATTGCTATCTTCACATAATTGAATTTGAAGCGTGTTATGTTCGTCAACGGATAGTTTTCAAAGCCTTTTGACAGTTTGATTGGAGGTTAATATATTTTTTAGTATTCTTCAGGAGACTTTTTTGTTTTGTTTTGTTTTATGTAATGTAATAGATATCCCCACATCATATGCTATACTAAAATAATGAGCCATAAAACAGTATGGTGTGTTTGTTCTTACAATAATTTTACCTTCTATCAAGTATGATTTTAGTAAAGATACACATTTTCTTTTATGTTTGGTCCAACAAATATTTGATTATAGCAAGGCAAAATTGTTCTCAAACCTCGATTTGACTAAAACTGATTAAAAAAAAGCTTTTACTCCAATTTGAAAACTTTACAATAAACTTAATATTAAATTTTCTTTCAAAGAATAAATAATTAACTAAACTAGTTTTACAAAACCAATTTCATTTGAAAGCAACACATAACTCAAACACGCACTTCAGTCCCTAGGTCGGTAGCTGTAAGGCAAGTAGTAGTATTAGGGGTCAGAATAATATTTGTTTCACACTTTTTTATTATGCAATTTTCCATATCAGATCTTATCCACAGTCTTCGTTAAGTGCCGATACTACGAAAATTTAATTATTATAATTTTAAAATCGATCATAAACCTAGGGAAAAGCAAGACACAACCACAATAACTATACTCAACACAAAATGTTCATTACAATTGTTGTTTATCACTGTATGGAAAATTTTGTAGCATACATTACTTTTGGAAGTTCCAGGTGGTCCCAAGTACATATGCAAGTGGAATTTTGAAACAGTTGCAAACCCGTGTTAGGTTTGCAATAAGTTATTTTTATAAGTTTACTGTAAGCTCATTTCGGAATTAAAATATCACGCATTATTTAATCGAGCTAACATACAATAATAGGCATTTTGAAAGTAACAAGGCTTTTGATTCGATTCTGTTTTTAAAATTAATTTCGGGGAATAGTTTTTCAGATAAGAACTCATAAGAAATGAAATTAGTTTTGAAAAATGTTTTTGATTTTGGGAAGCATGCGCTTGGGTCGTACGATTTAGGAGATTTGGCACGATCTCGAAATGGAGAAAAACGTTCCACGCGTAAACCTGATCTAATTCGTACCCATTAATAAACATCCATTCCAAATGTATGATCTGTTGTGGTTTAATGCAGAAGAACAACCTCTGATTCTCTCACATCATGAGCCCACCAACCACTACCATGGACAGAACCAGTCCGAGAGGGACAGTTCCACCTTCCATGCATTCGTGTCAAACACCCTTTAAGATCCCCAGAGTAATTATCAAACCAAGGACACTCTACAAAAATATTCCTTGTCTTAAAGGTTTCATCCCTACATATTAATCTTTTCACAAATCATATTATTTTATAAAAGTGTATAATAAATTTACTTACTCAATAAGTACAAATAGTTATGTATAATAGTTTTACAAGTACTTTAAAATATTTATTTTATTAGTTTATAAATATAAGACTGTATATAAAAATTTAACTTTATTTATATATTGATAATTTGTTGGATAGATTTATTAATATTCGAAATACTAACTAGTATACATATACTCTTAAGGATAAATTCCGAAAGAATACTATTAGGAAATAGTTTATTAAAAATAAAATTATATATTATGAACGTCATTTAATAAGATATGGACAAAATAGTATTTATTTTGAAAAAATTAAGGATGTGCGAAGGCTTTATTGACTTTATTCATTAAATTACAAAAGTATAAAAGATGCATACAAAATTATCCGTGTATGGTTAACCTAACATAAAGAAAAAAAAAGGTAATTTAATTGTAAAAAATAGTTAGAAAAAAATTGAGTAAAAGAGAGAAATGAGAAGCGTGTTTTATATTTTCTAATGTTATGGCAAGAGATATTTATGCAAGGACAGAAGCAATAGGTACACCATCACTTCGCTACACAGCTAAGCAAAACCCCCATTTGTAGTAGCTAAGGACAAAGGTGAAATATGGAACAGGTAAATTTCTCTTCTAAATTCTCACCAAAACCAACACCTGGTACAATTGAGTTGAAAGTTTCGAAATTGAAAAACCAATCACAAATCAAAAAATACCCATCTCAGAGACCTAGTTGAGAGATCTTTTGTTAACATAATAGCAGTGTGTGTTTATGATAGTTCGAAACTTGCTCAGGCTAGTTAAATGGTCTGTGATTATTTGAATATCAATCTAGTTGAATATTTAGATAAGTACGCTTCTCTTCCTCTCTAACGTAACCGTAAAGAAATGAAGAAATATAATAAACCTTGAACTTTGCAAATCACAAGCAAATAAAAACAAAGAAGAGGACGGGTTTGTTACCAGGCATTGGAAGTTAGAGATAGAGAGAATAAGTGTGTAGTTAATAAGGAAAATGAGGGAATGTTAAAAGGATAGAAAAGGTTACCAACAACAAAGGAGCAAGCTTTCCAACCACCACTTTTGGATCTAAGAATAGGTTTGCCTTTAATGTTGACAGTTCCATCTTGCGTGTAGTCCTCCCTCCCCTCTTCCATAGTCATGTTTACTTTTAACAGTTGTTTCCTCAACACTGAAGAACAGAAGCAGAAATCAGAAACCCCTGAGGGAAGGGAAGAAGGATTTCTCAATGAAAAAGGAGAAATGAGAGAAGTGAATGTGTGGTAGCATGGTCTCCATTCATAAAACTATACACAATTTATAGACCTCTTGCCCTCCTCTGTGGATACACCTCTACTCCACATGGGCCCAGGATCATCACCATCATCTCATTATTTCTTCCTTTCTTTATTTCCTATCAAGTAAATAATTACCAAATTAAACCTTCTATTTCATTTTAATCAATTATAATCAATAAACTTAGCATCTAATTTCAGACATGCACTCAGGGCACAAATCACATTCTCAAATACACATAATCATATTATTCATAATTATATTTACTTTTTTCTAATTTTAATAATTAATAAAGTTATATATTTTATTTTATTTATATAAAAATATTATTCTATAAAAAATTATTTTTTATTTATGAAGTTTTTAATTTTAAACTTTAATAAATTTAATATAATAATAAACATTATATTAAAAATATAAAGGATGAATACCTAAATTCAATTTAATTCCTACATAACAACTATATTCACCGAATCATTTTATTTCATCCATCTTCTCTAACATAAAGTATTATGAATTATATAAAAAAGTAGTTTTTCTTCTTCTTTTTTATTTCTTTTTCCCTAAACTCTAACTAAAAATAATCTTCAAATATTCTACTTCCCATATAAAATATTTTTTAATAAATACTTTATTAGTAATTTCTATTTAAATAAAAGTTCTTTACTTTATTTAAAAGAATACTAAAATAGGTTTAAATATTGAACAAAATGAGAAGAAAAAAAGTGAGAAAGTATATATTATCAAAACAAAAGCAAAGAGTAAAAATTTTAGAAATAATGACTTTTTATAAATAATTTTTACATAATTATATTTTTATTTATAATTTTTTAATTTAAATGATAAAATATCAATTTTACTTTATGAAACATTCTCTACTTACACTTAAATTATACTCAATTATTTTATGTTTACTATATAAAATATGAGTTTTGACTGTTTTAATAGCTTACTTATAGCGTCATACTTTTTAAATTTCTATTTGTATACTGTTTTATCATTATATATGTATTTTAATTATTATTATTTTTACAAAATATAGGGTGACATATTTTTCTTTATTGAAAAACTAGTATTTAGTTTTTACATAAGAAGCAAATCCAGTGTAACATTTGCATCTTTCGAAAATTACGATATTGTTTACTATAAAAGTACGCTGATGAATTTCACTCAAATTAAGATATTCAAGATTAAGAACTTATTTTATATTTCTATTTTGTAATTATAGGATATTCATATAGTTTTCTATACAGATAATTGATAGTTATTAAAGAAATGATAAAAAAAATATTGCAGAAATCTATTTTAAAAAAGATTTTTTTTTAAGTATATTTTATTTTAAATAAGGTTAGGATATTCATGAGCCAATACTACAATCAACTTATTAAACATTATCTAGTTTAGTTACAAAAATACTATGTACAAATTAAATTCTGAATTAAAACTTAAATTAATCTCTAATTTTAATTATCAACATTTTAGTTATTAAATAAAAATTAGATTATAATTCAATAATTAAAAATATAATTGTCAATTAATAGTTAAAAACTGGTGACTTAGTAATTTCTAATCTAATCAATATAATAACTCTAAAATAATTTATATTTAATAAATTTCTTAAAGTGGAGATCTAAATTTCTAGTTTATATAACTTAAATATTTCATATATATATATATATATATATATATATATATATTGATTTTTCTCTTTTATTACTCTTATTTTTTTCTCATTAATTTTTTTTTCTATTTTTTCCTTTCTGTTTCCTTTTTCACTTATTTTTTTAATTAAAATACTATATTAAATTTTAATAAAAGTATGTTAAAGTAATTTTTAAAATTAATATTAAAATAAAATATCAATTAATTATTTAAAATCATGATAGTAATAAATAATTGCTTTTAAAATATTTTATCATAATAAATTATTTATTTATTTCATTAAAAGAAATATTTATAAATTGAATTTATTTTTTATTTAATAATTAAATTATGAGATTAATCAAATAAAAAATTATTAAATAATATTTAAAATAAATATTTTATTATTTTTAATGTTAATTTAAAAAATTATGTTAATAGAAAAAAATATTTTATTTAGTTTTATTATCAGTAATCAAATTTTGTTTCACGTTTAATTAGATAAGATAAAAATTATATTTAAGTAATTATTTAAATTATATTATTTAACAATTAAATTGATAGAAATTATATTTAAGTAGTTTTTTTAATATATTATTTATCAACGTTATTCTTGTATCGTAATTAATGTTGTTGAAGAAAAAAATTATTTATGGAAAAATATTAACTAAGTTTAATATTATTTTTCATAAGGCGTTTTTTCCTCAACTTTTTTGAACGATTTTACAATAATACATTTCTTTTTAAAAATTAATATTAATAAACATCCAATCAAGTTACCTTAAGTACGAATTTATATTTTCAAACATTTTATTAAATTGTTTGCGGAGACTTTTTTATTTAAATTTTTAAATTTCCAAACAGAAAATTGCCTTATATATACATAAAAATCATTTGAAGTATTTGAATACAAACATACAAAAATTAAAATTATATTATAAATACGGGGAAAGATATTTAAGTGCCTAAATGTTTAACTGGGAGGCTAATTAAAGTTTTAGTGAATATAATGTTTTGCTTATATTATTCCTTCGTTATAAAATATTCTACACGATAAACTTAATAAAATTTATGATAGTTATTTTAAAATTATATAAATTATAAATTTTTTAGCTATTAATAATGTAAAAACAGTAACACCAATAAGAAATGAAAATAAACTTTTAAATTTTTCTCAAAAAAAAAACTCTAGAAGGATTTTGTTATATCATTTTATTCAAAGTGCTATCTCTGAAAAAAGTTATGAAGCTTTAGACTTTGAGCATGCAGATTCTTTTTTATTTTTTCCTGTTGACTTTATTAATCGTTGCCCTGTTTTTCTTCGGACCTATGATGTAAAAGAAACACTTTTGATGGTTTAAAATTCATCCAAGAGAATCTCCAATTCAAACTACAAATTTAAGTATTACCTGTCCACAAAATTAATTTCATAAATCAAACTAGAAAATGTTGGTATTACAAGTCCACAAAATATTGATTATAATATGTTATTAATAAATAATTCATATATTACGTAAATATTTTAAAAAATATATAAAACGTGAATATTATGCGTAACTAAATTATATAAATTTAGATGTTTTTAAGTGTTTCTACCAAAAAAAATGTGGGATTTTTTAAGATTTGAAATTAGTCTCCATTTCTTAAAGTGTAAGACGAAAAGACATTAATTAAAATAAATCTAAATTCATTAATAACTGAATTCCTAGAAACACATAATTGGTAATTATTTGTGCATTAGGAAAAAAAATAATAGATAGAAAATTAAAAAGTATATATATTTATTTAAAATACAAAAAAGTATGTATGATTAGTTAAAAAATAATTGATTAAAATCATGGCATTCTTGAAATAATTGAACTTAAATATACAATTAAAGGTAGATAGTGGGGAATCTTGGAATTTCATCCAACCGAATCCTTGTCTTAGTGTTCCACGAGTTGTGGCAACGGAAGTTGAGTCCACCCAACTCTATGGTTGAAACTCGTTTACAAATTTAGACTTATCGAACCTTAATTTATTTATTTATATATATATATATATATATATATATATATATATATATTTTTTCTGTAAAATAGTTTTATAATTGTATACTAGTCTGTTTGAATATTCATAAATGTTAATAATTTCTACGTAAAAACAAATTTTAAAACAAAACCCAGAGGCAGATGATTAAAATGAAGGGAGTATATTTGTGAATTTCGAATATTAGATAGATATGTGTGAGTTTCATTTATAATAATTAAAAGAAAGTATTCTATCATATGCTACACACAAGAGGATTTAAAGAAACACGTTTTTTGTTTATTGTTAGTTGAACAAACACTAATGAGAGTTATGTTTACTAAAAAAGATTAGTTTCGACCAATGAAGTAAGGTTCAAATATTCATTCATGTTTAGTGCTTATTAGTACTTCCAGAAAGATTATTTTAAAAAAATGTTAATTATAGGAAACAAAATAAATAAAATAAAACGGGGGAGTAATAGTCTTGACACAAATCAACGTGAGGATAAATTTTGATTTTATATATTTTTCTATTTTTCATCTTTAATGGAAGTTAAAATCGATGTTTTTACATATAAACAAATTTTTATTTATTTTTTATTTAATGAATATTTTTCAAGAAACAATATCACATGTCGGCTCAAATTGCACATTTTGTGTGACTAATGTGTTTTAGGTACAGGACAATGGATATAATTAACGCTTCTCTGTCCATTTTGTGTACCCCAGTGAGTACGTGTACAAAAAAAAGATTTCTTACGTCTTAGACTGCTTCTTCGAAAATAATATAACCTAACGTGAGGATAATTGGATTTATTGTCGCAAAGTAAATTAAGAACTTACAACAAGTTTCATTAGGGGAACAAGTACGGGCAACATGAAATAGGTTAAAAAAATATAAGTCTTAAAAAAATTAAGAAATTTATTTTCATTGTGATATTTGTAAAATATAAAGCTTCTATTAAATTACCAATGTTAACCATTATATTTCTAAAATATAAATTACAAGAGTACGTATGTTAGAGTTAATTCATACAAACAATAACTTAAATTTATAAATAAAAATGTACAAAACAAAATTAATTTAATTTTTTAGTTACTAAAACCAACTATTATCACGTTTTCAATCCAAAGGTGAATGGATTAAAAAAATAGACAGTTTCTTAAAAAAAAATAAAAAAAAATTGAGTGCTTCCTTTCTTGTCAAATGATACCAAATGGTGAAAAGAATAGATTTGTAACTTTCTGCTGTTATTCCTTCTATCATATTCTCCCATTTCAAACAAAGCATAAGCATTACCTAATAAAATATGATAATATAACCATATGTTTAATTAGTAGGATGAAACAGGGTGGAAGAGGACTTTTGAAAATTATATATATGAATGGAAGAACCTTTCTTAAACTCCAATTTTCTTTTTCTTCTTCTTCCTCTTGATTTTCTCATTAATCAAACAAAATAGATAATCATCATCCATATTTTTTCAATCTATTTCCTCCCATTCAAACATGAGTATAACTGGTAAAAAAACTCATGTTATATTGAAGCAAGTGTGACTGATATGTATGGAGAATACCTGATTGGAAAGAGGAAGGCAACAATAAATTCCACAGCATTGGGAACCCAAAATCGTAATAATACAATACATGTAAGTAAGTTTTGTGAGTAGTTTTGACTAGGTATGTACGATATTTAATTCCTAGTTAACACCGGAACCAACAAATTTAAAGCATTTTTTATACTAACAAGTTGGTTAGGTGGAGAGAGTGATGATAATGAAGAATATATTATGAAAGAGGAAGGAGGAGGTGAGTATGGTAAAAGTGGTAGGTAGCCATGTGGAAGAAAAGAATTGTGAATAAAGGTTCTTTTGAGTGATGACAGAATAATCCCGTGAAGAATTTGACTTGATATTAGCACCGCAAATTCTTCGCCCTCCTTAGTTGATTCACATTAACACCTGTAATTGGATCTATACCTAAAAGAACCAGAATCTGCTTTCTGTACTAAATTTTCCATCCCTACTTTTAGTCCCCTTTCCATAAAACTTTGAACTTTCAAAAGTGTCAAGGATTACATTAACCAATTTTCCCCACACCTCCTTCTAGACTCTTCTCAAACAAAAAACCCTTCCCACTCAAAATGTCATCCACATCCATTCTCCCTTGTTATTTTGATGTTCAAAAAACTCATTCTCACACGTTCTTATAAAAAACTAAATTGAAGTTGATTTAATCGCTTCTCTGCACCTTTTAACACTCAGGTCAGTGACTATAATAAGAACTGATATAGAGGAATAATAATTAAAAGGCATGTTATTTTGTTTCTTCTCTTATTGCTCATCACACTTACTGTTATTACGGTTTAGTCTCTCAGATAATATTTGGACACCATAATCATATTTTTTAAACTTAAGGGCCAAATCTTTTAATTTCAAGTACCAAAATATAAAATCACTCGTATAACTAAACATACACTAAGTAAACTCCCCTCAAATAGTTGTGATTTGATGACAATAATAATTATTTGTTAGAGTAAAAATAATGAATTGTTGTACATATAATTTTATGACTATAAAATAATCAATTACAAAAACAATTATGCAGCTTTTTTATATTTAGATTCCTGGACAAAAATTTAAGATATAAAAACTGGAAAGATAAATACAAATATGCTCTATTTTTATCTTGGTTTGAATGTTTATTATATTGATCTATTTCATATTTTAAACTACAACATAAAAAATCAACACAAATATATTCAAAAGATGAAAAGGTAATAAAGTATCAAATCATCAAAGGGGATAAATAAAAATTCAGAACTTGATAAATAAAAAGAATATAAAACAAATAACAGTTGGTGAAAATAAGATAAATTATAAATCTGATCTATGTAATCATACTCTGCAGATCCATTGTATTTGAAGTGGGGTTTTCTCCCTCATAATTTATGTGAAAAAAAAAACAAATAATTAGTCATCCCATGAATTCCCTTTATTGATCAGTAATTATTGATCAAATTGATCAAATTTAATGTTCGTGAATATGACCTATAATAAGGGTTAGAGTAAAAAAAATAAAGAAAACTTTTTAATAAGTATTGTTGGTTAACTAAATTGTGTTTTGGATTAATCAATTAATGAATCATTATTAACCTTTATTTGTCTCTATTAAGTAGTTTTCAATTCTTAGATTAATGAATCATTATTAGTATTTATTTTTCTTTATTAAATCTTTGTAATTCTGATGACAAAATTTCTATATAGGCTTGAACCATTTTTATAAAAAATAATAAGTGGAATTTTATTCGAACTATTAGAGTTTAACTCTTTTATCTTATTGAGAGTGATTTTCCTAAATTCTTAAGTGATTCAAAAACTCTTACATGTATCAAAGGACTTTCACATCCTTTGTGAGTTGTCTTCTTTGAAAAAAGTGATTATTTTCTTTCCTATCACTAAGTTCCTAAATTTTTTAGAAGGTTTAATCCTAAAATCCTAAATCACTCATTGTAATTCTTATAAGTTGGAGACCCAAAATTCTATTTTGTTGTGTTTCCAATTTTAATGGGTTGGTTTGGTTTGCTTCTTTTTTTCCATTTATGTTGGTTTGTTCCAGGTTATTATATCGTGATAAAACAATAAATACATTTTTTATACTTTAATATAATTATAAATTACTGTAAAAGTACTTTTTTTTTGTTAAATCTAAGAAATAAAAATCTATTTTTTTACAAGAAGTAAACTAATTTTGAATGAGTAAAAACAATTTATTCTAAAAATAATATTATATTTTGTCAAGCTTTTGCCTTCCGTTATATACTGTCTATTTTATTGAAGTTTTGTTTCTTTATATTTGCAATTGAGTAATATTTCTTATTTTAATGATTTATTATTTATTTTATCTATTTTTTTAATAGTAATAATTTTATTTACTACTGTATCATTATTATTTTTTAACCACAATATGGCGTAAAAAATTATATAATAATTAGGAAGAAATCAGGACAGTTTAAAACATCATAATAAAACATAAAATATATCGTTTAAACTATTAGAATAGATTCGTTGAATGTGAGTAAAGGCATGGGACAATTTTTACTACAGTATTTATTCCACAACATCCCTTACTTTCTCATATATAGAAAACAACCACAATAATACATAGCAAAATTATACATGAATGCTAATATAAATTTGACAACACAGCTTTTAATTTTTGGAGTGTTTGAATGATTAAAATGTGTATTAATTTTGTAGAAGATCCGCACTTGCTATGGAAATTTTCAAACCTAAACAAATAGCGAGGATCTGAAGACACTTGTCATGTTTCGCACATTGAGGCCGTGCTGATCTTGTTTAAATTTTGGTCAAAATAAAAATTTAATGAAGGCGGTGTCCGAAAAACAGTGGCCCAGCTTCAAATTAGCTTGGGCCTTGGCCTGGGGAGACATTTTACGGACAACCCACGATATTTTCCTATTTTTCTTATATTTTAAATTTGTTAAATTCGTCAATAAAAGGGTAGGAATCGGATTAGATTTGCACAGGCAAAACCCTACCCTCTGAAAACCCTAATCCTGAAGCACTGTAAGTGTGATATGGCAAGAGCCATTTCCTCTTCCTGCGCTCGCTTCACCATGCGCCTTTTCTCTACAACCACCACCACATTCACCGCCACATTACCCAAACCCTCATCAGTCTCGCTCCCTTCGCGTCGGTTCCTCTTCCCTCTCTCCCATGCCATCGTCCCTCCCTCTACCCGCGTCGCGGGGATCCGCTGCCGCGTCAACCGCGCTGGCGACTCCGCCTACTCCCCGCTCAACTCGGGCTCGTCGTCGTTCAGCGACCGCCCTCCCACCGAGATGGCGCCTCTCTTCCCCGGTTGCGACTACAACCACTGGCTCATCGTCATGGACAAGCCCGGTGGCGAGGGCGCCTCCAAGCAGCAGATGATCGATTGCTACATCCAAACCCTTGCCAAAGTTCTCGGCAGCGAAGAGGAAGCTAAGAAGAAGATTTACAATGTTTCCTGCGAGAGGTACTTTGGTTTCGGCTGTGAGATTGACGAGGAAACCTCTAATAAGTTAGAAGGTATGCCTTCTTCTGAATTTTAAGGTTTTGAACTAGTTTTTGTTACGCGTTGTTTTCACTCTTTTATATCTATGCAGGGTTGCCTGGAGTTTTGTTTGTGCTACCGGATTCTTATGTTGATCCTGAGAACAAGGACTATGGTGGTGAGGGTTTAACGCTTTTTGTTTGTTGACCTTTTGGCTGCTGATGGTGCATTTTTTTGCTGCTGATTTCTGTTTTTATGGCGCCATTTCTTTTTCGGAAATATGAAAGATAACTACATGTCTGTTCTTTTCTTCGTGTTCGTTTATTTTCTGAACAATGTTAGATTGCCAGTCGATGTAGAAAAAAAACAAGTATTAGATTATAATGTCTGGATTTATGTCTAATGTCTAACTAAACGTTCTGTGATATATACTGTGTGAAGATGCAAATCAGTAGAGATTGAACATATGTCTGCTGCTATCATCAATTTTAAAGAGTTTTTATTGTGTATCTTTTTACGTTGTAGTGCTTAACTGTAATTGTCGGTCATGGATTTGCACTAATTGTAATTGTATGTATTGTGTAAATTTGTTTGATTCCCTTGTGTTTATCTCACTGTTTAAAAGTTTTGTTGAGATGTTTTGTTGAACTTTCCCAGCTGCAGGTTTTGGAGAGTTGTAATTTGAAATTTTTGGATTTAGTTAAATTTCAATATAGTTTCTGAGTGTACTGTAGTGTTCTCCCTTTTACAGCAGTCCATCTTGGCAAAGCTAAAAGCTCTTAATGAGTAATGGCTAGCTTTGAATGCTAATGGACTCACATAAATTTCCCTCCTTTCCTGTTCTGTTTTCTTCACAAACATATGGAGTCTCAGAATCATTGGAGTTGATACATACAACTACAAGATATGTTATTTGTTTCAGGCCAGTAGTGCCAGTTTTATTTTGTATATGGTTTTTACCATGTCTCCATTTAACTTGTAATGTTTAATTGTTCTTTATGGTGGTGGATTCTCACTTATTTGAAGTTAAAAAATAAAACTTGTCTGCTTTTATTTACTACATGAAACTCTAGAGTTGAGTGTTTATGTGCACACACCTTTTTCTGTTGTCCATCTTGGCAAAGCTATAAGCTTTCAACGGGTAATGGTTAGCTTTGAATGCTAATGGACTCATAAATTTCTCTTCTATCCTGTTCTGTTGTTTCACAAACTTATGGAGTTTCAGAATCATTGGAGTTGATAAATAAAATATTTCTCTTCTTTCAAGTTGGTGGTGCTAGTGTTTTCTATTGTATAGCCTTTTTTACTGTATCTCTTTTTAACTTGTACTGTTTATCTGTACTTTATGGAGATGGATTGTCACTGATTTGAATTCTTTTATCTGTTTTTTCTACATTCTGATGAAACTCTAGAGTTCATTATTTGTGAACAATCACTGGAAAGGACCTATAAAGAAATATACCATACATTTTCTCCCTTTCTTGGCAGTCCATCTTGGCGAAGCTATAAACTCTCAATGGGTAATGGGTAGCTTTGAATGCTAATGGACTAACATAAAATTCTCTCCTATGTTGTTCTGTTGCTTTACAAACTTTGAGTTCCAGAATCATTGGAGTTGATATATGAAACAACTTGATGTCTCACCTTTTCCAATGCAGTACTCCCTCAGTTATTCTTACCTGTAGAGGTTTTACTTTGTCTCTTTTTAATTGTAATATTAATCTGTTTCTTATGGAGATGGGTTGTAACTTGTTTGTTTTTTAAAACTTCTATGCCTTTTCTACTTTCTGATGAAACTCAAGAGCTCAGAATTTGTGCACATACTCAATATGGAATATAAATCATTAGAAAGAATCTTCACAGAAAATTACTTTACTTTTATCCCTTTATTGACAGTCCATCTTGGCAAAGCTATAAACCCTCAACGGGTAATGGCTAGCTTTGAATGCTAATGGACTCACATGAAATTCTTTTCTATCCTGTTTTGTTGCTTCACAAACATGGAGTGTCAGAATCATTGGAGTAGATACATAACCTACCTCATATTCCTCTTCCCTCAGGTCATTAGTGCCATTTTAAATTTAATAACATGTTAGGTTGAGCTTTTGTTTACAATGGCAGTTTATGTTGGCAAAGCTAATAATTCTGAAGTAATCTTTTAGCTTTGACTGCTATGGACTTGCATAGAATTTCCTTCCTTCAGTTCTGTTATTTCAGTCATTTATGGAGTTGTTGCTCAAAATTAACATTAATCTTTTTCATTCTGTGGTCGAGCGCTTATGTTATTTGTATTATCCTTTATTTGTTGGTTAAGGCTTCTCTATGTTTTTGTCCTTTTATTTTTTGTATGTTGGTATAAAATGTGAATGGTTGTTGTTCGTTTCTTGTTTTTTCTCCACTTGGTAAGCACGCAGCAATGGCATCTTATGTTGATTGAATAGAGTAGGTCAATGGCAAAACCACCTGCTCTTCCAAAGCTTTTATTCTTGAGCCCTACCTCTATTACGAAATTAGTGACAAAAGCCATTGTTGATGTTGTTATTCTTGGTTGCCAATATTCCCTATTTTCTAATAATACACCAACTCCAGTTAGTAATTTGTTACAACATTTTGGTTACGATGATGCAGCTGAATTATTTGTGAATGGAGAGATCGTCCAGAGGTCACCCGAAAGGCAGAGAAGGGTGGAACCACAGCCACAAAGGCATCAAGACAGACCAAGATACAATGATAGGACAAGGTATGTCCGCCGCAGAGAAAACTCACAGTGAAGGACCAGTTGGTGGTAGGGAGAGGGATGTGATGTGTACATAAACCATGGGAAGTACTATTTACATGGACTGTTTTAGACTTGCCTTTGGAGACACCATATTCCGGTGGGTCACTGAAGATGTTTGTACTCGAATTTTTCTGGGTGTGTTTTAGGCGGAATCCACTTATTATTTTACCATAAACAGAATCTTGAACTCCTTTCACTGTGTTGTCCGCGATATAAAGTTACCATATTTGGTTTCGATGCTTCTTCCGATTTTGATACCTCACAGATACTGAAAACCCTTCCGATACCATCTTCACCCGTGACTTTTCCTCTTTTTGGGTTGCATGATTATCATTAGTTCCAAATCATTATTTATATTAAAATTACACAAGTTATCATTCTAGAAGATATTAGTGCACAGGCTTGAGTGCAGGGAACAAAAATAGGAATTCCATATTCTTGGGGTTGTAATTCATCAACCGTTAAACATATATGATGAAATTACCTTCCTAATTTGATCATACCCTTTTTTTAACGCATCTTTGCAGACTTATAAGTATAAGCGTCAGTGTCGAAAATGATAGATAATCTAATTTGTTTAGAACTTTTTTCCTTAGAAAACCTCTATGCAACCTTAAACTCTTCACTAGTGATATAAAAATAATAAAAATACAAATCAAGCAATTGTATCTATTAAAATAATAATAATAGAAATGAAAAAAAAAAATTATATATATATATATATATATATATATATATATATATATATATATATATATATATATGTATGTATAGTTTTTCTTTTTATGTTGCTCTCATTTATATTGTCTATTGGGTTATCTAGAATAATTGTGAGATTATTATTTCCTAAACTTTCTATCCTACCATGTGTCTACATTGTTAAGTATGTCAAAATTTATACATTTGTTGGGGGAACAAGACTTACATATAAGTAATGTGGTAATATAAATAACAAGGGTCGATTTCTCGGAGTTCTTAAAACAATAAAGTGAGAATAAGTTAGACATTTCAGTTTATTCAACCAATCCATCTTAAATAACTCGTCAAGAGAATACATAGATTAGTTGATATAATTTATCTAAATTTTATATTACTTTAAATTAAAGTAATTATATTTTTATCTTTTATAGGTCCAATATAAAATGAATTAAAATGAGTTTTCGTTACTATATAATTTTGTATTCACACAATTTTAATAAAGTTAGTTGTTATTATTCATATTAGATAATATTATTTAATGAAAGATAGGATAATAAATGGGTTAGGTTTGTTATACTGGTATATCAGTCTCTTTTAAAAATAATTCATTTAAAAAATATATTTATATATTAAAATAAAAATAAAAATTATAATTAAAAATATTATTTATCATATTATTAAAATATATAAATATATTATAATATTATAATTTAAATTATAAATATTATAAATTTAATTTATTGATATAATTAATTATTTTAATACATAAATATAATAATTTTTTACTTTATCTAATAAAAATATTAATTAATAAATATAAAAATTATTTATATAATTAAATATATATTTTAAAAAATTATATGAAAAATTATTAATAAAATACTCATTAATCTATCAATTTATTTTTTAATGAAATAAATTAAAATTTATAATATATTTTGATTATTATGAACTAATTTATGTCTTGTTTTTCAATTAAAAAGGATGAATCGCCTGTTTTGCCATATCTAACGAAAAATTATAAAAGAAATAAAATTTGAAAAATCTTTACAAATTATGGTGATGATAAATTTTGGTATACTAAATATTAATGGATACAAATGATTTAGTAAAATCAGAAAAAAAAAAAAAATCAATGTGGGTAAATAGATGGGTTTATTTTGTTGGTTAAAATAAAAAGTAAATTACTTCGTAAAAATCAAAGGTGCTGTTAGGATGATTGTTTTGTGAAATTGAGGGGGTAAGTGGTAATAACTATGAAAACTAAATGGAATAAGATAATAACTTAAGTACTAAAGTGTTAGTTTTAGTTATGTAACTGCTTGGATGTGGATACAAATGATCATAATCTATACTTACCTTTCAACCAGCCTAAAAGGGAGATGGCAAACGAGAGAAACATGTATATCTGTGTTCTTTTCTCTTCATATTTCACCTATCAAAAAGAAGTAAAAGATTGCTGACCTTTACAACCAAACTTGTAACTTACTATGATATTTTGTCAACAAAAGTGGAGGTGTTATCTAAAGGGTTCAATGGGAGAAGATTCTTCAAGAAAAGCTGCTGCTTCAAAACATTCAACAGCTTCCATTGCTGATGTCCCCAAATCAGCTCTGTAGAACAGTCCAAGATTGTACCAAGCCGATGGGTTTGTTCTGTCAAGGCGTAATGCATCAGTGAGAAGGCTTCTAACTATTGAAGATGATTGGCCACCAAGTTGTCTGAGCACACAGGCTGTGGATATCAAACTAGGCACATGGTTGGGCTCAATATCTAATGCTTTCCTAAATGATTTCAGAGCCTCTTGATGAAGACCTCTGGCTTCAAAAAGTAAACCTGCAGAAACGTAACTCTCAAATTTTGCTACATGAAATATGCAAGTAACTACCTTAACAAAATGATACTCAATGACTAGAAGGAAGGTTGGAATGTTGACAATTATATTCTTTCTAAAATGTAAATTCTATGATACTTGCGTTTAGCACCAACTTGAAAGGTTATCATTCACTCTCCAATATACACCATCAGATTTCTGAAAGTGTCAGCCACTTTTCACTTACTAAGAATCTTTATTCTTTCTAAGAAAATAAAGTAGAGTGTAGATTCTATTTGTAGATACTTGCTTTTGGACCAACTTGAAAGACTACCAAGTGGCTAAAGAAATATAAGTATCATCAAGAAAGTGCATGCTATAGTAATGCATCTTTGCTCAGGCAACATAAAATCCAATAAGAAAAATGCTTGTTCCATAGCTATTAGTAGGTAACTTTAAGAAGTTAAAATTGAAATATTTTTATTATATATATATATATATATATATATATATATATATATTTCAAGAATAAAATATGGTTGACTCCCCATAATACATTTTTTATCCCTCTGAAGTATATTTTCTAAACATAAAAACCAACAAGTAGAATAACTGAAAATGCACACCTCAATCTACACATCAGATTTGACACTGTTGGCTACTTTTCAGTAATTGAGAATCTATATCTTCATGTATCAATGACAAAAGAAGAAACTGAACAAACAAATAGAACCTATGAAGTATAGGGGGAAAAAATTGAAGATAAGCGATATACCCTTTGTGTGCCATCTAGAAGCAGAATAGGGATTAATAGCCTCAGATTTTGCTAGACAAACTTCAGCATCTTGCCACTGTGATAAGGCCGTGTACACATTGGCTAAATCATGCCATACTTCCATTTCCAGTCTTCTGTCACGGTTTCCCTTAGTCTGTACACAACAGAAGTCGGAAAATTAATATATTAGTCTACCTATATTAAAAATGTAGACTTTGAATGATTTAATCTTCTTTTCTTACTCATAATTTGAGTTATTAAAATATCAAATATGTTCTATATATATATATATATATATATATATATATATATCATTGACGCATATCTTTACAACCTTACTTGCCGTGCCTAAACTTTTATGTTGGACCTGAAGAACAGCAAGAAGAAAAGTATATGTATCCACTGCATTCTTTAATTTTCCCTGTGCAATTCGCAGTTTAGCCTTAGTTCTCAACAATTCTCCTTGTTCCCATTTCCCACTTTGATCTATAGCAGCATCTATAACAAACTCTGCATCTTCAAACTTTTGTTGAGCAGATAAGATCCGTGCAAGTAGAATATATCCATCAACGCTAGATCCAGCCTCAAGCATAATCAGTTTCTTTGCATGATCAAAAGCAATGCTTAACTTCCTCTGTTCAGCATATTCTAGACAAAGATGAAGGACAATGTAAGGATCACTTTCCCTCATCATTATCTCAGCATCTTTTAGAGCACAGAGTGCTTCAGACTGCAAAAAAACCTTCTCTGATTCAGAAGCAGCTGACCTGGATTTTGATGACAGTAGAACACCTAGCAAGCAATTTGCAATAGCTACCATCTGCACACACATTCCATTCAACTGAGAAATGGCTTTGACAGAATATTTGATTCCTTCTTCAGTGCAAAGCTTGTTGTCTGCACAAATTTTTGAAGCTAGAAGTAACTCCTTTAAACATTCTGTGTTCTCTCTATGATTCAAAGAGTTCCTCAGAAGATCTAAAGCAGTCATATGTTCACTTTCTCCACAGTAACAAAGAGCTAGAGTATAGTATCTTTCTTTTCTGTCCATGTTTTCAGGAAGCAATTCCTCAACCTGTTGAGCTAGAGTCATGAATTCCCCTGAAACACTTAGAGCAAAAGAAAGGTGATCAACCAATGAAGGGTCCCATACAATGTATCCAAGAATATATTTTCTCAGCAAAATCAGAAGCAGAAGAACAGCCTCTTCTATGTTATTTCTTGGCACAAAGGAACCATCCAACTGAGATCGGAGAGCAGGAGGGCTAGCTTCACAACCACTATACAGAAGAAAAAAAGCAAATTCCTTTTGTATTCTTGCAGTAGCTTCAATTTCAAGATTCCAATGATAAAGCATGGCCCTCCTAAACGATGAGATTACATCTTGAGGAGAGCCCGCAAGCTTCCACAATTCTGGAAGCAGTTCTACAGCATTTGCCACTGTTTCTTGCAGTTTACAGTCTGAGACAAAGTTTTCAGGCCAGCCCTCCGGTAAAGCTGATTCAACAGTGTCTAAAATAGTTTTGCATGAGTGAGCAGCATCTGCAAATGAATAAATTAATATTATAAACCAAATCATAGACTTAACTGATTTAGATCTTTTTACTGTTGAAAGGATTTAAGGGTTTCCCAGAAACTAGAGAACAAGTGCAAGATCATTAAGATGGTATGCATGGATATATTTAAATTAGAACTAAGAACAAGATGAAAGAAATACCTTGAAATCTTCCAAGAGCCTGCAACGATTTAGCCTTGAGAAAGAAAGCTTCAAGAAGTAAACTAACAGCATGCATTGACATAGGAGGCTGAACATCACTTTCCGAACGGCGTCTATTAGGTTCACATCTTCTAGATATAGAAACTTTCACCTTGGGAACGACAGTAGTAATATCTATTCCTTCAAACACATGAAGTGCAGCTTCGACATTGCCTTTTTGATACTCAAGTCTTCCTAGCAAGGCTCTAGCTTCCTATTGTGAAAGTCATTAAGCTTATAATGATAATGCTTCTCAAGTATCAATAAAATCAAATATTGGGACAAGGTCCTTATTTCTTGCCCAAAAAAATCACATATTACAGCCTAAAACGCAAGCATAAGAAAAAAAAAAAAGGCCTAAAACATGATAGAAAAGCAGATTGAGGTCATGTAGAGTAGAGGTCAATTCTTGTATCTTGTTAGTCTAATTACCGATCTACTCGTGAGAATGATATGCCATCATGTACGGAGTCTGCATTGGCCAAAGTTTCAACGTCTACATGCCTAATACAAGTCTGATGGTGGGAAAAGATTTTCGTTTATTAAAGAAATGCATAAGAATAAGAGACTACCATAATCTCTTGAGAACACTCTCCAATTACTATTATTTGATTTTTTTTTTCAGACATGATAAATTATCATCATATACTCCACACCAAAAAGAGTTTCTTCAATATGATATATAAACTTCAAATGGTGTGGTTCCATCCTACAATTTGTGTGATAGGTCTTGCTAGAGAAATTTAGAAAGTTCATTTTTTTTTTGTTTGGAAAGAATATGACTTAATTGGCAAAAAATAAATGTGTGAGGATTCTTCGGCCTATATATTGCAAACTATCAATGACTTCTTGTTCAATAAATGCATATACCATTTACGTGTCACTTAAAACATCACATACATCACCACTCCGTTTAGAAAACCCATTCAAACTTTCTTTTAAACAGTGTATAAACCAGAGAGCTAGGTTCAAACTTGTAAGATAAGTGTCTGCCTCTAAAATAGTATAAATTGAAGAACTCAGTTCAAACTCGTTTCTAGCAATATGTCTCTGTTTCCCGATTTCAATACCATAGAACAAAAATACATGAAGAAGTCTATTGTGATGGAAAGAAATATAAGGACATGTTTGGGATGGAAAGTGCATGTCCAAGATGAGTTGTTGTTGAGGTAATAATGGTTGTCATTTTTCTAAGTTCTGCCAAAACAACATTATTTCTTCGCAAAAAGCTTAACACGAGTAATCATATAACGTGGATTGGGATGTTTAAGTTGAACAATCTTAAGGTGATGCTACATAGGTAAATAAGAGGCAAGAAAAAACATAATCTGACCTCATAGTTTAAATAACCACTTTCACGGAGAGAAGACTCTGCTTCTTCAATGTTGGTATTGTCAAGCTTCGTGTCGTTTTCACCAGGTCGAGATGAATAGCCACCACTTGCTGAATAGTCTCTGGTTGCTAGGGACTCTGATGAGTAACCTAATTCATCTGCCTTTAACTGCTCCCCAGAACATATACACTTTATCATTTTTCTCAATCTTAGGCTAATCTGCTTTTTACTTATCAAACTCTTAACTCTCATAATGAAACATTCCACTCGATACTCTCCTGAAACGTCATCATACAACAACATAAGAAGAAGAAGCACTTCAAGATACTTTCTTGAGATGCTAAGATTGTATGCAAACAAAAAACTTGGTATTTCTAAGTCCTACTGTGTCAGCTTTTTAACATCAAATTTTGTGCACTTGCTTGCTTTGAAGTACATGATAACGCGATTCCAGGTTTAAAAGCATGTTTTTTCAGAACTGGGGACCTAACATCTGGCGTAACCAAGTCAACCAAATGATTTGATCAAAATTCAACATTTACATACCCAACTGGCTGATCAACAAAACTAAGACGCAAACGACTAAAGTTTATAAAATAATGAATAAATAAAAGAATAAATTCTCAAACTACCTATGACCATATCATAGTGAATGCAATGGCGAAGTGAACTGTTGTAAAAGGAAAGAGGGTGGTTTAATTTGTTTATCTAAAGTTGAATGTGAGGGAAGGCCTTATCGGAATCATAGAGAGAAGAAAAAATGATTGGAAAACAACGTAAAAGAGGTAGAAAGAGGAAGGAAAAAGTGGCTTTTCCATCATAGAAAAAAGTATAAACTTAACCCACAAGACAAAAGAAAATGAGTGTGCAAGTCCATGTCCTGTTAAATTAACCCGTTAAGAAAGCGCCCCATGAAATGATTTTGTCTTGTGAAGCAAGAATCCAAAGTTACAGATGCTTTAAACAACCTTTTTGTCTGTTTTGGTAATTTTCAATGTTGCCGGAAGAGTTATGTTGACCGTTTGTTCTGCTCCAACTTCAAATAGTTGCAGCTTGTAACTCATGACGGTGCATTAAAGTATGCATATCTAACTTCTGAACCCCCAGACCTGAACTTTGAATCTTCTACCCGAAGGAAAAAGGCACGAGTTGTTCACTACATTTCTCAGTTTATATATTCTTTCTGCAAGTGGCACTGTTGACAATGAGACTTCTTACGACAAACTAATGACCTATTCTCCAATGTCTGTATCTGAGACCAAGTTAACAGGTTAAAAATTAAAATATGTATTTGCTCCTTTTGAAATGTTTACTTTTTACATTAAAAAAAGTTCAAGAGGGTTTATTACCTATATTCTACCCATGTCATAATCTTGCATTTAAATTGAAGGTAATTGTAGTCCGAGCACAATAAATATTTTCTATTGTCATGTCAAAGCAATTAGATCTTAAAATTAAATAACGATCAAAATGATTTTTGTAGGTTGGTGTGTGAGTAAAGTCACCCTGTACTGTACCGTATGTTTGTTCACAGTGATTTTGAGAAGTCAAAAAGAGTAGGTGAAAGAGAAAGAAAAGGAAAAGGAGGGAAGTGGAAGAAGAAAAAATTATGTAACTCACCAAAAATATTCTCCTGAAATGAAATATTTGAGGTGAGAAGTAAAAAAATAAAAATTGTAGAACCCATTACAAATTAAAATAGCACTTTTTGTTTTGTTTTGTTTTGTTTTGTGTAACTATATTGTAAAATTTAATATTTTTTTATATTATCATTCAATGATAAATTATTCTCTGAGAATAATGTGAACAGAACATCGCCGTGTTAGTCTTAGTCTCTTAGGGATTCGCCAACCAAATTTAACATCTAACCAGTGATGTGGGTTTGAATTTGCATTAATCTGTTGGGCTATGTATGTATGTCTCGTTCTCTGTTTGGGCCTTATTGAGCCCAAAAATTTGATATCTATCATGTAGAATAAAATTTACGTGGCGATAGAAAAGAAGGGAAAAGCAGAAAGAAAATTGATGAATGGATGGTGGTTGTTTATAGCTAATGTAAATCATAAGGGGTACTCTAGCTTATACTATTTCGAATCTGCCTATGTAAAGTCCATAACAAATGTTTCCTTTTTCTGTATTGCGACATAAAGGGAAAAAAAGCCCGTTTCCAAGGTGAGTATTGGCAGATTCCTAATGGTAAGTACTTCTATAAAAGTATCCTTTCCAGAAAAGTATCATAAGGCACGTTTGTTTGTCCATAAACAAAAATTATCATAGAAAACAAGTTTACTCAAATATATACAAGTCATCAATAACTAATTATTTTGTTAACAAATATTATTTTCTTAATTTCTTTTTAAATAAACAGACCTAAGTGTTTTATGTTAGTGATTCAGATCAGTTTGTATTTTTAACTAGTTATGTCGAAATAGATTATAAAATACATGACTGTTATTTTTCTTACGTATCTTGGATAACGGAACCGTAATTAAATGAGTTTCCCATAAGGATTAAAATGTACATATAAAATAAAAATTATTTAAAATATTTGAAAAATCTTAATTTATAATTTTTAAAAAATTGTACGCGATATTTTGTTTAATTTATCTCACTCCTAATTCAAAATCTAATTAATTATTAATTCGGACTAAATAATCTCACTCATTAATTTCTATCATATTGTGAAAATATAAAATTTACATAAAAAAGAAAAAAAATCCATTTAAAAAAAAAGTTGGAGCACTCCAACTAATATCACCTATTTATTTTATAAAGAATTAATTTATGTTATTTTTCACTTTCAAGTTCATTATTTTGAAATAAATAGATAACATTTGTATCATGAACCTGTTTTAGTTAGTGAATTCATGTATACCATGACAACAACATTGATGATGTGGTTCAACTTGTTAAGAAATTAACGAGTAGGAATAATTTGTTAGAGGCAACCACTAACGCTAATTTAAAATAATATGCAAAAAAATTAACGTAATAAACACAAGGACAACACTTAAAATAAATGTTTACAAACTATTCCACCACATATCTTACTTGTTACCATGATAACCTTGTCCACGTACAAGAGCATAAAAACACTCTTGTATATGTATATTCATCCTTGTCCATAAATATCAAGACCATTGACATTTATTCCTTTTAAAATTCATCTCGGGTTTCACAAATTATTATTCAACAAGGCGAATAGATTTTGTTTTTTGTGTTAGTGTTGATATCTTATTATTAACTGATTTAAGAACAAATACTTAATCATTCATCTTGTTCTTAATCGATGACGTCATTCACGATGTTCATCTTATAACAGGCTTTGTTAAGGTATACAGAAAATGCAGATGATTAATATGAATTATTTTTGAAAGTTGCCACTCATTTGTTCTTCTCATTGAAGACAAAAGAAAAAAAAGTAAATATCTCTTTCTCATTCTTTCATTCCACGTTAATTATTCCAGAAAACAGGAGTAGTGCATTAATATTTTAATAACAAACAATAAGAAATAATTCTCTCTTAGTCATGCAATATTTTCTATAAACCATCATCATGGCTAATGCAAAGACGTCCAAATATAAGTTTGTCATGCATGCAACGACGCCAATGCTCAGTGGTGTCCAATCCCACCACCGCCGCCGCCACCGCCGCCAAATCCACCTCCACCGCCAAACCCACCTCCTCCGCCAAATCCTCCTCCACCACCACCACCACCACCGAATCCTCCACCGCCGCCAAAGCCTCCACCTTTGCCTATTCCACCGCCAACACCACCACCCTTTCCAAAGCCACCTCCAACACCACCACCCTTTCCAAAGCCACCACCACCTCCAAAACCTCCACCTTTGCCAATTCCACCTCCAACACCCCCACCTTTTCCAAAACCACCACCACCACCTAAACCTCCACCTTTGCCAATTCCACCCCCAACACCACCACCTTTGCCAAAGCCACCACCACCACCTAAACCTCCACCTTTGCCAATTCCTCCTCCAACACCCCCACCCTTTCCAAAACCACCACCACCACCTAAACCTCCCCCTTTGCCAATTCCTCCTCCAACACCACCACCCTTTCCAAAGCCACCACCACCTCCTAGACCTCCACCTTTGCCAATTCCTCCTCCAACACCACCACCTTTTCCAAAACCACCACCACCTCCTAAACCTCCACCTTTGCCAATTCCACCTCCAACACCACCACCTTTTCCAAAACCACCACCTCCTCCTAGACCTCCACCTTTGCCAATTCCTCCTCCAACACCACCACCTTTTCCAAAACCACCACCACCCCCTAAACCTCCACCTTTGCCAATTCCTCCTCCAACACCACCACCTTTTCCAAAGCCACCACCACCTCCTAAACCTCCACCTTTGCCAATTCCTCCTCCAGCACCACCACCTTTCCCAAAGCCGCCACCACCACCAACTCCCCCACCTTTACCTATCCCACCTCCTTTACCAAAACCTCCACCAGCACCACCTCCAATCCCATGACCTCCCCCAGCTCCACCTCCAAACCCTCCTCCAGCACCACCTCCAAACCCTCCTCCGGCTCCCCCTCCTCCACCAAACCCACCTCCGAACCCTCCACCAGCTCCTCCTCCCCCGCCAACTCCACCACCGAACCCACCTCCCTTCCCAAACCCTATATTCTTTTCTTCATCATTTTTCACAGTTGCTACATCCCTTGCAACCACATTGGCGACAAAGGCATGAGCACACAGCAATAACAACAATGCTAATCTTTTGTTCTTTAGCAACATTTTAATTGCCATCAACTCACTGACACTCTTATATCCTCGTTGGTGAAGTTTGAAGAAGTGTGAAGAGGTTTTTATAACCCAGAGGATCCATATCACAGTCACAAGCTGGACCCTCTCTGTGACTTTAATTGGTTTCAACTACTAACTGTTCGGGGCATTTAATGTACACCGTTTTCACAATTATTCATCGCGTCCTTCCTTTCACACTAAAGAAGTAAAGTTTAACCTTCAAAACTTTGTACTACTGGACTGACACAATGGAACTAGTGGCAATTTACAATTCACACATAGCCATACCTAAATTGTTACTATTACTTATCATGTCGACTATAGTCTTTCTGTCATTGACCATGCTTGCATCTCCTATTATCCCATTCTTGTTATTAATTCAACTGAACAAATTCTAGTTCTATTTCTGCAACTTATCTCTATGTCGGTGCATCAAATCGGTTTTCTTTTCCATTCATCATATGTGCCTTAATTGTTACATACCCACAAGTGTACATGATAGGTTATAAACTATCACCACCTATACTTCAATTTGCTTTATCTATATCCAATGTATAGAGTGTTTGATATTGTACAATATTAATATTTTTATTTCAAGTATAATACTTTTGTATACTTTACCCTTTTTTTCTATGTATATAGTTAAATATTCAAACTTTTAAATATTTATTTATATATAATAAAAGTTTAAAAAAATATATAAATATATATGTATAATGTAGAAATATATAAATATAATTTGTTATAAATTAAAGAATTTTTTTTATAAATTATTTTTAAAAAATAACGAGATTAATAATACTATTTTTATATATAAATAATAAAAAGTATTTCATAATGATAATGGTTTTTTTTTTTTTTTTTCAGAATGTATGATAAATGTGATTTAAATTTTATATTTGTTATGTTTAAAAATTTTATACATCTTTAAACTCATGTATCTTAAACACAGGTACCAGTTATAGACATAGCAGTGTCCGAATGAAATGAATGTAATCTCCAGAAGTTAGAGATTCGGAACAAACAGTATTTTCTGCATAATCCGATGGTTAAAATGATGAATGTGTTATGTTAAGAGTATGCCAAATAGGTAGCTTGTGAATGGAGTGTCCCAATTGACATAAGTTTAAAGTTGAGAGCGTTATTAATTAGTGGGGTGGTTGGGATTTATTGTGCTTCGTAAGTGTTTGCCCTCCAGTGGCAGTGAAATGCACGCTGCTTGAAACTCTGGTTTCCACAGTTGAAAAATATCTTAGACAAGATTCAATGGGTACAGTAGACTCAAATTAAAACTAATAATAAACCTGGGTTAGCTCGGGTTTGGCAACGTACATATAGTAAAGATCATGGGCCCAACCCAAGTCCTTCCAAAGAAAAATTGTGTTACAGAAAGATTCATCAAAGTTTTGGAAGAAACCTTGTGCTTTGCAGAACCACTGCATGTGCTTGTCAGATGCAAAATTTATTGCGCGGTGGAAATTTGTTTTGTTCTCAAAATCTGTGTGGCTGGCATCCATATATCTCAGCTAATTAAGTAATCAGATAACAGAGAGAGACCCACACCATGTTTTATTTTATAAGCTTTGTTTGGAAGAAATTAATTAATTCACAACAACAGTAACAGTAATGGGTCATTGTATAATCATGCTTTAGCTTTTTTATTTTCTGTAAAAAAAAAAAAAAACTGTTTATTTAGCTCATCATTTAGTGTTTCTATATTTAAGTAATTAACCTGGCATTATTTATCCACAGTACTGTATGTAAAGTTTTGATTGTTTATGGAAGCAGAATCCGGCACATTATCATTAAAGATTTTGTGCATTCCTGAAAGTTTTCAATGAAAGCTTTTGTTACGAATTTAGTTTTGGCTTTTGATCCTATCCTTAGTGATACCAGTAGTATATGTTGTCTTCCCTATAGGCATATATAGATAGAAGAAGAAAAAAATTAAATGCTGAAACTAACATCCAATTGGAAAGCAAGTTGTGCTATTTAGAATTCGTTCTCTGGCCTCTAAATATGACCAAACTAGAATTCGTTCTCTGGCCTCTAAATATGACCAAACTCTCCCAGTTTTGAATGAGACAAGAATTGGCTATAAACGTTAATTTGTTTTGATATATACCATACCACGGTGGAAGTAAAGACCTATCTCCTTCCTTTACCTAAACAAAATTCATTTACAGGTTCAAGTTATTAGAACTTTTCAAAGAAAAAGTAATTGCTCTTCCTTTTTCGGGTTAACTTTTATTGAGGAAAAAAAAAAAAAAGAGTGTTTGCAATATGGGGAAGTTATAAAACCTTTTAACTTTTATTCCTATTCTTCATTAACTAATCTACATGGAGTGAAAGATAATTTAACTTGAGATGGTTAAATAATATATTATTAATAAATAATAAATAAATATAAAAGAAAGAAAAAAAAGAAGGAAAAAGATAAAATTATAGATATATACTTAAATATATTAAATGATCATTAAGTTTTACATGAACAAAATTATAAAAGTTACAAAACTTTAAAGAATGATAATCTCTTTTAACTCCAAAAAAAAATGGCCTTTTATTTACATGTAAATGGTATACCTATATATTTCTCTCTCACCGTGTAAGCTTTTATATTCTTTTTTATGTAAAATATAGTTTCTTTCTACTCCATTAGCTACAATCGTGTTATATTAAAAGGAATAAAGTGATCTTACAAATAAAATACCAAAATACAGAATTTATAATGAATTGTTTACAATTTCAGAAATTAATTTGGGAAAGTAATGGGAAGTAAAACACATTTTAAAAAATAAATTCAGAAATAACTCAAAAATAGGAAAAATAAAAATAAAAAAATACAGAACAACCAAATTCTAACGTGCACAACAATGAGTATATATATACATATAGGACTGCAAAAGGTAAGGCCTAATTTTAAGTTCATCTACGAAGCTTGTGCTGTTAGACCCATGTAAAGAGAGCTGGCCCAAACCCAATAAGCAGGAGTTGTGAATGAGTTTTATTTTACCGAATCAGTTGTGAACTAATTTTTATATAACAATAATAATTTTAATACTTTTTATTATTATATTAGTAAAGAGGTTGTGTAATAATTTTTTGTGAAGTTGTGTAACTTCTCCTTTTTGAATCAAACACAATTGGTTGACCATCCTCGAAGTGATAAGGACTTATCCATTGTTTTAATCTTACTATACAAAATGATGTTTTTCCTCTTGGACTGCCAAAAGATATCGTCCAAAACATGTATTTAACAATGAAATGAAAAACAAAAGATGAATGATATATTTAGCATGCCAGTGCACCCTTAAATTTAGCAACTGTCACTTAGTTCCAAGTTTCTTCAAGAGAATATCAGAAGAATGAAAAGTAGAAGTGTGATGAGACTTTTCTGACACTCTTTCCATCTCAGAAGTTATTCGGTAAATAAATAGGGGAATATATGTGTTACGAGTCTTGTTTGAGAATCTTGACATTGATTTTTCTTCTAAAATGTATAAGTGGATCATGAATTTCCCATTCCTGTGCATGAACTCCCTGTGACAGAATGCTCATTAGCACGAAGAGCTTCAAATGTGTTGATCATCCTCTTACAAGAGAATCGTGAACCAAATTCCATGAAACAAGCCCGTTCAACGCAGACTAGTAACTCTGTAAATATGAAAATACATTTACTACTATTTTTAATTTTTTTATTATTGTGGGCATATATATATATATATATATATATATATATATATATATATATATATATATATATATATTCTTTTTATAATAACAGTCACAGGTCTTAATCATTCATCTTAAATGATCAAATAATATATTATTAATAAATAATAAATAAATATAAAATGAGAAAAAAATATGATAAAGTAAAAAGATTAAATTGTAAATATATATTTAAATATATTAAATGATCATTAAGTTTGAGAGAAACAAAATAATAAATGATATGAGAGTTACAAAGCTGAAGAGGAATTGAGAGGATAAAATCGTAAATATACAAGTAAATATATTAAATGTTTATTATGTTTGAGGAGGCCAAAATCATAGATTCAATGAGAGTTACTAAAACTTTAAGTAGATGATAATTTTTTCAGCTCCCAATAAGATCCTTGAAGAAGGCGTTGAATTGAATGTTTAAATTTTGTTCTTTATCATCTTGGTTTAGTTATATATTGGAATGTTTTTTAAATTTATGATAAAAAAATGTTATAAAATTATTTTTATTATTATCATACAGTCTTATAGTTATTATTTATTTGTCTAAGATTTATTTTCCATTCTTAATTTTGTCATCTAATAAATTGACTTATATTTATAGAAATAATTCCAGAAAGATGTCTATGATTTGTTTTAAAATAATTGTATTAATGAATTATCAATTAGTTTTCCACACACACAATAAAGTTTAGATATTTTTAATTTATTAATGTTATTCTTAATAAAATATAATTGTAATCTTCTTATTTATGTAATTTGGTTCTTCTATTTTAAAATATAACCATATCATGATTTTCCTATTTTTTTAAATATCTAAATTTTGATTTAATTTTTCATATTATATATATTCTTATCTTTTAATTAATTAAACTATTTCTTACAGTATTTTAAAATAAAAACTGAATTATAATTATAAACTTATTTTAAAATTAAAAATAAATAATTTTAATTTACAATAAAGAGAACCAAAATAAACATCTAACCAACTAAGAAGATTAAAATTATATTTAAATGGTTATAACTTTAAAATAGTGATATAAAAGTTATATATTGAAAAATGAGGGACAAATGGGTAAAACAATTGAGCAGATAAATACAATAAGATCCTCATTTTCTCCTTCTCCCTCTCCTGTTCCCAGTCCTAAATCACAATTCCTCTTTTTTTCTTTTTCTTAGGGTCTCACCCATCTATAATCTTTCGCTCCGTCGCATGCGGCGGTGACTTTTCATACTCTGCTTCTCAAACAGATCGGCTGCGTCTCCTTCTTTCACCAACGCCGCCGTTTCCTGGTTTCCTTCTTTTACAACCCCTAACCACATCGATTTGTCCCCTTTCATTTTAATTTTTATTGTCACTATTTATTTTGTTTATTATTGTCATTTTTGTTATTTTATACATTTTTTTTATTGCATGTTGGAATGCTGTAGCTGTGAGCTGTTTTGTCTTTCTTTGGCTACCAAACGGATATGGAATAACTTGAGATTTCTCAAGTTTACCCTTCCAAATCAAAAGTAGCGGGTGTGCAACACCTAGTACCATACAATGATGAGTCAGCATCCGCCAAAGAATTTGTCAACAAAGAATAAGCCAGCTGCACCAAAAGCTGTTGAGCCGTCACCGTCGAATAGGCTTCTAGCCGGGTATCTTGCTCACGAGTTCTTGACCAAAGGGACTCTGTTGGGTCGGAGGTTTGAACTCGACTCAGTTCAGGCCGAGCCAAAAAGAAGCCAGTTGAACTCACAAGCTGCGGAGGTGAAATCCAGTGCAGTGCAGGAGCATGGTAGTTACGAAGAGGTTGCAAACCTTTTGAAAACAAAGGGGACCTACATAAAGGGTATTGTGAACCCCACACAGCTTTCCAATTGGATTAACATGTGATTATGATACCCATTTTTATATTTTTCTTTTCTTTTGGTATTTGTTCAAGCATCTTGCACAGGGTAGTTTTAATTTGATTGACAATGTCTTTTTCTACTTCCTGATTCTTCTGTTCTTTATGTGAATGTTGATTATGAAAATAATTTATAGAATTATCTTTATTGATAATCTTTTATATGATAAAGATCAATCTATTAATGACTATGTATTTATTCATTTAGATTGAAAATGATGTATATTTGAATCTCATTAACATATATTTTTGATATTGATTTATAAACATCCATATTATTAGTTTAACTTTCTTTATATAAAGATTGTCTAAACTATAAATAATTTTTTAGTGTAGCATTCATTGAGCTTTCGATGTTCTTCTTCACAAAAATCAAATAATAAAATGTGTTTATAAGATAACTTACCTAATTCTACAACTAATAATATTTTAAGTTATAAATTACTTAAGAATATTTTTTTGAAAAATGTTTGGCTCAGTATTTAGAAATCATTGGCTAATCCAAATTAAGGTGAGTGGACTCACCCAATATTCAAACATAAAATCTTATTATCTTAAAAAAAACATATACTTTTTTTTTTTTAATCGAGCCCTTTAGGACTTAATATCTTAGACCAAGAGGCTTTGGATCCCATTTCAACTTTTATAAAGTATTTATCAAAAATGTTTTTTTGATGTAAAACATGTTTTGTCTTATTTATAAAGGAAAGTGTGTTTTTATTTTCTCAAAATTTCACCATAAAATTTTAGATTGTAAGATTTACTTTTCATTATAACATAGGCTTCTTCCAATTCTAGATCAAGCTCAACTTAGATATTTCATAGGATATCCCTATTGGTTTTGGGCTGTTTAGGTCTGTGAAATAAAATTACATTGATATGGGTTAATTTAGATTTTTTTAAATACAAATTAAACCAACTTAATAAAATTTGGTTGTCTTTAATTCATGTATCATGCAAAATGAGATATCATTTTGGAAAAAAATAAAAATGATATTCTAAGTCCATCAACTCATATATCCATCCATTCAACGAGTTTTTGTGGTAGAAAGGTATTGTTAATCTATCCATTCAACCCATTTTTAATTTAGTTTAAAATTAATAATTATTAAACTCCTTTCATACCTTTTAATAACTTTTTATAAAATAAAAATGTAATCAATTTAACAGTTAAATTGAATGTTTTTTTTTTCATAAAAATTAAACACATCAAGGAATTTTCAACAACTCACACATGTCTTATTCACCCAGCTAAATTAAACCACTTTAATTAACAAAATCTTATGTACTTATTAATGATCATGTATGAAAAAATTCATATAATTTCAAAATTATTTAAAAGTTTATTACACATCACTTAATTGTGATATTTAAAAAATGTAAATATTTATTATTTGATAATATTTATATAAAAGTTTAAATTTTAAAAAATTGACATACATGCTCATTCAAATAATATCATGAAATTTTGAGAGCCGTTATTTATTCAAGTGAAAACATGTTTCCCACATTTTCTATATTATTAATTTCTTTTAAAATATATATTTATAATTTAATTTATTTTTTTCTTTATCCTACCATACCCGTGTATTTTTTTTCCTACTCTTTACACATCACATTTTTTTTTTTTTATCTTTCCTCCTTTTACTATTTTTTAAATGTAGAAATCATTATAATAATTTTTTTATATGATTTCTCTCCTTTTGTACTATATTTAATGAAAAGAAATATTATATTATAAATAATGAGCTCCTGCAATATTGGAGTAGATGGATTTTTAAAATCATAGTATGATTATAAGATTTTGAATTTAAGCGACTCTATTGATGACATAATTTGATAGTGATAAGAGTGAACAACTGCAAGGTCAATAGAGTCATGACAGGCAATGGAAATTGAAAAGAATAGTCTAATGTGGCAAACAAACTAACGTGAATGTTCCCCTGTTAACAAATATGCTACATTTTCCATCCCACATTGCATTCGAAGGAAGCACAAAATTCCCCAAAAGTGTGAAATTTGTCTTACGCAGCCTTAATTGCAACAGACCTTGCTTTCAGATTCAGAAAGATTCCCCTGACGCAACAATGTAAATCACAGGCCCATTATTGCCAAAGAACAACATGTACATAGTTCGATGATTGATTTATCGAACTTGGAGAGAAAGGATTGCAGTATAACTAAGAGAGGGTAAGGCATCCTCCAAAATATTGAAACTGGATACAATTCATGACTAATGCCATTGCCTTACAAATGTGATTGGAGATGAAACATGATCATAATAAATCCGTACAGGCTATATGCATAACTCGACTTTGCCAAATTACATGTTATTTTGAGCAGGATCGAGTAATCCAGTTTTGCTAATGTGATGTCAATATTTAACTGGTTAACCACCTTATAACACAATTCAAGTTGAGGGAAACAAGGACAATATATATCGTTTCAAATTGCGTAATGAACATACCTATTATGGCGCTTCAACCTCATGCTAATATGAAAATCTTAGTGACTTGGTAACATACTGACATAAATTACTCCGATACAAGGCATCTGGTTATAGTACTTAAATCTATAGAATATTTTGTTGAAGGTATGTTATGTTTGGTTGACATTAAAAATTAATGTTGCACTTTCCAGTGCAATAACACTTTTACAATGCACTTTCTCCCAAAGCAAGTTTTATTCTTCCATGAAACGGAGTTTCCCTCCTCCACACAAACAATAGGAACCGAGAATAAGTTTCCTAAAAAACTTTAAATTATAGTCAGGTAAATAACTTTGGTTAAGATCTAAAGGTCTGGATTTTAGTGGATTAAGCACCATCAACATTTATGGAATCCATTTCAAATGGGTTATGTTTATTTCCTTTTATTATAGAAAAAATAGTTTAATCTTGCAGTGTTAGAATATGATAGTTGATTTTACATCACTCCACAGGAACCTTTTGTAATTTAGAATTCAATGCAAACCTGTCATAGTATTATCAAATGAGAGATGGCATGAACTAATCATCATGATAGTAAGTTGAAAGATGTAGCTTACCAGCAAGCAGCAACAAAGCTGTGAAATACAACACGGAGCTGCAGAGGCATATACTGGTAATTTACCCATCCAACTACAGGCCAAAACTGCAAGTAAAAACAATATAACTTCAAAAAACTAACTTTTCAAATCCATGAGCCAAACAGCACACGACTGTTCTCATTGCCATACCTTCCATGCAGTCAATTGAACAGAAGGGTAGTCCTTTTTAACTTTGTTCAAGACTGTACTCCAAGGTCTTCCTGAAAACCAGTTAATTACAATGCAATGCAGATAAATCAGTTAGGATATTGTATTCACAGGTTATATTAATCATGTAATACCGTTTGTATTATACATAAATCAGAAGGTGTTTCAAAAGCTTCTTTTGTCATTTTTAAGTCAGGATCCATTAGGTCTTCAAATTGTATGAGAACACTTAACAATGCCTGGAAACTTCCTACGTTTTAGGTTTAGTCCATGAATAAAATCAGAGGATATGAAGAGTATTTATGAGAAGCTTAAACGTAATCTATCACTCAATGAATACTAGTTTCTTAAATCTTGGCAACTTGTTAGTGTTTACTTCTTCGTTTTAATTTTCCCGACTCTCCACCCTCTTGGTTTGACCAAGTCCTTTCTGTGGGAGTTTTATGTGTTTCTCCTAGATGAGAACAAGTACTTTCTTGCAGATCGTGACTCTGACACATGCAAGTAGCCCTATATTGAACTCCTCCAAGTTTTATATCCAATACAATATTCATATGGACAAGACAGTTTAGGAAAATAAAAACTTAGTTCTTAGACTCCTTTATATGCTTCTAAGGCAGGAACCCCAAAAAATTGGTAGAACTTATTTTATTTATTTATTTATTTGTTTTGCTAATTATTTTTCACAAATTTCATATTAGTCAATGGTATGTTTGATAAAATTGAAAAGTTGCTCACTGAATTTGTATCATTTGAAATGCTAAAACTGCATCAAATGAATTACTAGCATTCTTGTCGAAGATAAACCTCTGACATTATTTATTATGTAAAGAATTAAGTAATTAAATAACTGCTGCAGAATACATTTAGCATTTCCTATCTGTTGAAATTCATCACCCGTGTTATGCCAGGAAATCTAATACACTGAGGAAACTCATTTTTACAGTACTTAATTCTAGAGCAACACGCCATATTGAAATACAAATACTAACTTCAATAATACAACAGTAACAGAATCGAAGTTAAGTTAAGCAGCAACAAGCGACCAATTTCTTGCATTGGCATATAAACACACAAAAGCGGGTATTTAAGGAAGAACAAAACAATTGAATGGTTTCTGTTTTGAGTAGCGAGATGAGATGCAGAGCAGACAAGACATTAACAGCAAAAGCTAGCATTAAGGTTTAATGTAAATGTTTCAGATTTAATTTGTGTAAACTGAGGTGTAACATAAAAATGCGAACATATTTTATCGATGAGCATACCTTCTATAACCAAGCCGTAGTACATCATGAATAAAAAGTTGTTCCACGGGGAACTGGTTATCTGTTCAAGGATCACCTAAAAATAGGATATTTCGTTCCTGGAGCATTAGTTAAAACCTTGTAGCAGGACTAAGAACATTACAGAACCTAACACAATACAAAATACTGTCCCTACAAGTCAAAGGGCCGGAGAAGAGACCAACAAAAAATAACACAAGCTCAATATACCTTCTTAGCAACAGTGTCATTGCCTTTCTGCCCCTTAAAAATTTTATCCATCAATTTGTGGAGAAAATGTCCAAAGGGTCCTGAGTAGGCAAAACCATAGAGCTGCAAAAAAAGAATTGATTTCCAATATGCTCAGTCCTAAAAAAATTTCACTAAAAACTTTAATTTCTGCTTCATCTTAGGTGACACAGTGTGTTGATTTTTTTATATGATCATTGGATGAGAGTTCTGAAATGGTTGATATTCTAGTTGGCTCCATGGAAATTTCCAACGATTTTTAAAAATCTGATATAGACACGGATACTGTCCAAATTGAAAATGAAACCGAAACAGTAATTTCCCACATACAAATAACTCAGCACAGTTAAGGAAAATGGATATACCATGAAAAGAAGCAGCCTTCTCAACTGAAGCTTCTTGGCCCCAGATATCTTCTGTGCAACTGCATCACTAAAACCAGCCAAAACTGCTGCAGTAATTGCCTAACAACCGACAAGTTTTTTTTTTTTTTTAAACAAAGTGAAAAATAAGTGAAAACAGTTTCTTTCAATTCAACCCAAATGAAAAGTGTGAAAAAAAAAGAGAGAAAAGATTTGAAACCTTGGTTCTGAGAGGATGAAGCTGAAGCTGGTTGAGATATTTCTTGAAAACATGGTTGACTTTGTCAGACATGGTGAATGATCAAGCCGGATCTTGCGTGTGTAGTTTAGTTTGTGATAGTTACTGGTATTCTATGAAAAATGGAAGGAAATGGAGAGTGACAGAAACATAGAAAATATAGAAAGGCAAAACAAAAGTACAGAGAGGGTTAGGTGGCAAAACAAATGGAAGTGTGCTACACATGAATCACCTCGATTCACATTCAGCATAGCATAGCAGTGGGGTGTTTTCATCAAAGACATCACCAAAATCAAATGCGATCCCTTCCCAAATTTTTTTTGCCATTGATTAACCCTTAACTAATTAATTAATACCTACCATTAACATTTCAAAATAGGAGGCCAAGGAATCTCTTCTTTCCCATGGAGGGGCATTTAACTTTAACTATGCTTGTGGTAATTGCAACCGTGGAAGCTTGTGTTGATTGGACCCAATTGATCCCATGAATTTAGATTTGTTTTGATTTTATTAGTTATTTTTTCATTTTAGATTCAAATTAAACCAATTATAATTACTAAACTTAATACCAACAAGTTTTATTTGATATTGTAAATTTTTTTCCAGTCAACTATGGACTAAAAGTTTTATATGATCTAATCAAGACAGAGAACTTATGGACTAAAAGTTAGGCGGTTTGGTCTGGTATAGACCTATTTATATTAAAAGAACAATTATCTAACATAAATGGAATCATTTACTTTAAATTTTAAATAAAATTCTATAATTTTGTAGTCAAAATGTAAACATATAATTTATAACTATACACGTCCACAAACAATGAAGAGTAAGTTAATAATGATTAATAATATTTCTAATATCTATTTATGTATTAATAATTCAAGATATGATATTTTTTTAAATTTATTTCAATATTTCTTTTAAAGCAATCTCTATGTAACACAATACAGAATTATAAACTTTTTTATAAGTTGTAAGTTTCAATATATGAAACACTAAATCGTTTCTTAGTTTATAAAAAAATATTTTTTTTCTCTTTGTACAAATTTATAATTAAATTATTTGAAACATACCATTATAATAATAATGACGAATCTTTGGAGGATAATAATTAAAAAATTTATCCTGTTTATTAGTAAAGTTTATCTTTACATTTACATATAAAACTTTCCCAACCAAGGACAAGAAAATGCTCAAGCACTTTACAACTGGGTAATGTCATCATAGTGAAAAAGTTGTTTTGTTGAAAAAAAAAACAGTGCCCTTTCCTCTCTTTTTTTTTTTCTTTTCTTTTCTCAGAATTAACTTCTAAAATTACTTTTTTGAAATGTTTTAAATTTTAACACTTATGTTTTGTAAAATTTAATGAATTTTAATTCATGATTATAAGAAATATTTGATTATTAATTTTGATACTATTATATTATAGTTTCAAATTTTATGGTTATTTAATCATTTTAGTTCCTAATAAGAAAATTTTCTGATAATTTTTTTACTGCACTTTTCTTTTCCTAAAAGTGTTATCTAAATTACTTTAGTTTTTTTACTATTTGCTATGTTATTTTAAAAAACTTCAAGGACGAAAATAAAATAATTTAAAAAAAATGAAAAACTATCTGAGTAAAAAATATTGATAATTTATTAAAGATTCATACTTAAAAAATATAACGTAATAATTATGATTATATATATAATAAATAAAATGAAATTTATATTAAATTTATAACAGTTACATCTTATACGAGAAAGAAAAGTATTTTAAAAAAATGTTTAGTTGATAACTTAAAATATCAGAAACACAAATATTTAATTACTACCATAATAAAAACTAGTTCAAATTATGTTTTAATTTACAAATTTCGTGTTATACTTTTAAAATTTTGATACCAATTTGAATTATGAAAAGAAATAGATACATAATTTAAACATATTATAAATAAAGAGTCCCATTCATGTGTAAGAATTTGTATATAGTATACATGTCTATCAGCGTGTCAGAATAGATGGAAATGATGCGCATCTACCATTCTCTTTTTTCTTATATTCAACCTTCTCCATTCTTCAACCTCACTCTTATCTTTCTACTTTTATTACATATTTTAGAAGATTAATTAGAATTTTTTTTCCAATTAATTTAGTGTTAATTAAAAATAGATATTTAATTTGCATTTGAATTTACGATAGTCCCACCTAACATTTTAGTAGGGATATTTTATCTTTTATACTATCAAACAAGAGAAAAGAAGTCAAAACTAGTGAATATTTTGAATTAACAACAGTTTAAAAATATCAAGGGTAAAAATATATGTGACAAGAAACAATTCCTTTATAGTTGCAGTGTTGATGATATGAAATTTAAGGAGATGGATCATCTAGACATGGAAGGTGGCATTTGTGGAGGTGCATGTGCTGGCCCAATCCAACCTGCATATAATTTCAGCAATATTAGGGATAAACAAGTTGTTTAATAATAGCAATTTTTATATACAGTAGCTGGTATGGCAGAATAAATACCTTTGGAAGGGTCAAAACCTCTTGCTTTGAGCTCAGCATATTCTTGGCATAAGACACATGGATCGCAGCAGCATGTAGCACAGCAATCGCAGCAAGGTTCTGCTGGTAACGCAAACTTTGCTCTCAGCCTCTCTCTGTAAAGGCACGAGTACACCCAGTGGCATGCCACCACCATAAGTAACCCATACACACACCCTTGTGCAACGCAAGCTGCATTCATTCTCACGTTCATAAAACACATTTTATTATACATATCACAAATCATCAATATAACATATATATATATATATATATATATGCTAAAATACTAATCATCTTACAACTTCGTCCTTCATCCACTATTTCTGCAATTTGGCCAAAGGTAATGCATGGCAGACAGCAAGTTACAATACCTGCGTTATTCATTACAAAGTTACAATTCATGATTCAATATATGTAATAATAATACAATTTAAGAGATACGTATATATGTCATGTTACATGTTACAGGTTCTTCTCCACAGCCACAGAATTCAGCTGACCATTTGGAAGTGGCAGAACGATGACTTGTAGTCATGTTAGAAGTTCAAAGAATATGTTTGAGATAGCCAAATGAAAAATCAATGGTGGACGGATATAACTGAGGCTGGGTTGTATACATATACCCAGAGAGTCCACGGTCAACAAATTGCTTTGGAAACATCGATTTAATGAAACAGTTCGAAATGGTTGATGCGGTTGTCTTCTACGCATAAACATGAATCTATTTTTATTAATTAATACAAGCCGGACTCCTTCAAACATAGCAATTCCAATTGATTTCTTACCTTAATCATATGTCTTGTCGGTTTTAAGTTCATTCTGCCGTCTCATCAGTCATGACTTTGATACAATCAATTTTCTACATCCTATTTTTCGTATACATTTTTTGTTCACATTTCTATTACTAACTTCTTTAAACCGTCTTCCTAGTTTTGTTTTAATTGGTAGTGAGTCTTTCATTGGCTAGTTGGTTGTTTCTCTATTCTGTTTCTCATAAGCCTAAATTAATCTGTCATGATTCAATTCTAATTCAGTTGTCGAACACATAATATTAACATGTCTTCTTGAAAGTTCAGACCTGATCAATGATGCAATTATTGATATCAGAAGGCAAAAAAATACATGCACACAAAAAATTCAACAAGCACACACCCACAACAAGTAAAAGCATACAAAATAATATTTTAATGTGGTTCAGAGCACACACCCACAACAAATAATTAAAAGCACACAAATAAATATTTTAACCAGTACTTCAAGGCTTATATTTATCAACATACTCAACAATATTTTATTACTAATTGTAAATCCTCTCTCACTCACAACTCACTCTAGCCCCTTATACACAAAGGAAACTTTTTTAAATTATGGTATCTAATACTCATCTCAATCCCTTACTTTTATAGTGGTTTCCTTCCACTCTCTTCTTCAAATTACCCATGTGGGACTTTGGAGGATACCTACACATTGACACAACATATCCTTCCTTCATCCAAAGTCTCACACTAATCCATCATCATCACTAGCCATATTTACAAAAGGAATACTCTTCTTTTCCTTCATGTATTTCAAGTTCTCCTTGAATTCTGGACATTTGACTTGAATGTGACTAAACTATCCACAGTAATAACACTTAACAGTACTCATATCTCTTGACTGGAATCTTCTATCATGTTGATCACCATACTTCTTCTTTCCTCGCTTGCTTTTAGCTAGCAGTATCTGAATGTCTTCAAAGGATTTATTATCATCCATCATTTGTTGACTCTCCTTCAATGTCCTTATCATGTCATCTAGTAGCAATATACTCTTCCGGATTTGGGTAAAGAAGCCAACAACTACAATGTCTACTCTTCATCATTGATAGTCTCCCCTGCATTAATCAATATGGATAGCTCATCTTATGGCCAAAGGTTATACTCAAATTTTTGGGTTGAATTATGGAGATACCTTTTTCCCTATGGCAAATATGATTTCTGTTCGTTTATTTATCGCCATGACCGCTCTTCAACAATGACCTCTTTATCAACTAGATGTTAAAAATGTTTTCCTCAATGATGATTTGCAAGAAGAAATCTATATGGAACAACCTCCTGAGTTTTAGATAATTGATTTTATTTTGCAACATTAACATGATATCACATTTAAAACTTAATTTTTTTTTATTGTTGTTTTGGGGCAAAAATTATCTTTATCTTATGGATCAAAAGTATCTTTTGAAGTTCCACGTCCCCTGCCTCGTATTTTTAATTGTTGTCGTGGGTCAAAATTTGTCTTTTTATCGTGGGTCAAAAATACCTTTTAAAATTTCACATTATTTACCTCATATAATGTGACATGATTAAACTACTCAACATATTACGGGTTAAAAGTACCTTTTAAAGTTTCATATCACCTATTTCATGTCATATGATATGGTGTTTACATGGGAACTTTAACATGTCTAACTTAATTATTTTGACTATTTTTTATTTGTTATATTATTTGTTATACTTAGACAAAAGTTGCTTCTTTTAATTTGTTTTCTAGTAAACAAAATCTCATACTTAGAAAAGAAAAAATATCGATGAGTTGGTGTTTAACGCGCATTATTTATAGGAAGAAAAGGATCTTTAAACTTATCCTTCTTAAAAAGTTATTAACGACGTTGAATAGGCTTCAAATAATCGAAGAAAAATTTAACTAATTTCTTTTGGGTAATCAGAAGCCGAGAGTCCAAATTTCTATTGGGCTAATAGAAAATAGAGAATCAGTTATTACGCATTGAGCCCAACACGACCCGGAGACCAGAGCGGAACCTTCATTTTGTCTAAACTTCTTTATTAACATCTAGATGTAATTTAGAGTTGTCAAGAAAACATGATGTTCACATCATGGTACGTAGCGTTAATATGGTGCCAATTCTCACCTTGGTAGCTGAGAATTATGGATGAATGTACCTAATAATATGCCATTACAAATTGATCAATTAAGTAAATTACAAGAGCCCTTGGCTTGTACCTTTTTTTAAATGCTCTAAAATGGATGATTAAATATTCATTGTTGATTGGAAAGTACCAATTGATGCCAATTTCAGTGCTCTAACCACGACTTCCATATTGGCCCCTTATTGTTTCTTGTGCCATTAACCAATCTCACATCCAATTATTGGAACACCGTATCATTACAAAGCATGGATTCATATCTTTCACTCTTGAAAAAAAGAGTCTTTACTTTATTAGACTATAAGTATTTTTGTATGAAAGATATCTTCCTTAAATTTATATAGAACTACTAACGATAAACTTCTTCTGTGTAGTTAATTTAATTGCATACTCATGATTTAAATTTCAAATCACTGATTAGCTGTAATAACCACATACCAATTGATTCATTATTTGTCTTTTCAAAATTTCATTATAGTATTAATTATTATTTTCTCAACTATACATTTGTCCTTTATTAGAAAAAGAGAAAAGGATAAAAGTGCAGATGAAATGTTAACAAGAAAAAAGAAGTAAAAGACATAAAAAAAAAGTTCAATAGAAAGGATTGGAGTAACAAGAAATTTATTTATTTTGTCAAGTTCATGTCTGGAGGGGGCATGTCTTGGAAGTTTGGAGTTAGGTTAAGAAGATATGATATGATTTATGATACTGGCACCAAATAAGAATATGCCAAACAACAATGCAGTGCATTTCACTTTATAGCTTTCCTTTTTTACTATTTTCTTTCTTTATCAATTGCTTGGTTTGGCTTAGAGGTAATGTCTTTGTCACTGTTTTATACATTCTCCACTCAGAAAGATGAGTGGTCTTGCCCTTTTCTTGCTAGTCTTAAAACATCGAAGAAATTCAATGATCCAATCCCCACTTAAAGGAGAGCCCTTCATTATATTCTGTGATCAAGAACTGGATTGACTCCACCAAGTGAAATCCAATGGTGAATCCGTTTCCATTTTCTTCGCAATTTCACTAAATCACAATAATTTTTGAGAATTAACAGATGATCCCGTATTTTAAGTTTTGGTTTGTTCTGAGAAAAGAAATCAATAATTGCACATCTGCCGGTCCACATAGATAGGTCAGAATATCATCCTTAAAACACGAAGGAGATTAATATCTGTGTAAACTATTAATCACGAAAGTACTAAAATATTGGTGCACCAAAAGAACTGCTTTAAGGGTGTCCAAAGACTTTCAACGGTGACAACAGCAACAAATTTAGGGGTTTAAGCTTTTGGCAGTCAGTGTTTTAGCAAGAAAAAATAAATGGACAAAAAAAAAAGCTTAAAGATTTCCAAAGAAATACATTCAATTGACAAGGATCCTGATTATTAATTCATCTGTCCCCATGATGATTGGACAGGTTGACCAAAAAGAAGGACAAGTACTAACTTGCACACTTGAATTGCGGATGGGGAATGCAATGGTGGAATGTTCAATGTCTCTTTCATTTGGAAAGAAGAAATCCTTAGTATGAGATGAATGTAATAAGCAATCAATGGTTAGATATAGTTTTAGGTTCCACTTTAAAAGCTCTACACTCATGTCAAGTTATACTCTTCAAAGTACAACAGCCTCTTCTCAGATGTTCTTGGCCATTATTACTTAAAATAACAAAAGTAACCAACCCTCTTCTTTGATTCTTCTTTTTCCTTCTTTTTTTAACATTCCTTGGTGGGGCGGTGATGTGTAGAAAATGAATGAATGTTGTTTTGCCTCTTAACTTTCTTCTTACTACTAGGTTAATTTTTCAGGAGATTCATGTCACCATTGAATCTTTTTTGCATCTTGAGCATGTGGAGATAATGGACCCAATTAACTATGTAGTGCTTTTGTGAAAAGTATTTGTGGTGTGATTTGTATGCCGCCTAACTTCTACTCTACTGGTATATGATTTGTCAGATATGTGATGAAAAAATTATTCATCCCACTTCAACACTTTTCATGTTCTTTTAGTTCTCATATTTTAATGGCTTGAAGTTATGAAAAGATAAATTTCGTTGTCACCAAACCAAATTTGACACGATTTTAATTAACATCTCGTTTTTGTAAAATATCTTGCTTTCTTAGTCCACAGGTCAAATTAACCACTAAATAACATTCATTTCCATCAAACCTACATATTACAAAATGAATCAGAAATGAGAGATGGGAAAAAGCTTCTGGTGCTAATTATAAAGTCTATATGTTGACATTAGTTAAATAAGAGGAAGTGATGGCAAAAAGAGTTGCCACTATATCACAATACTATTTTTATCATCATAAGCATGCATGCTTGGTTATACTATAATAACTGATAATGGTAGGGTCAACTCATAAGTTTCATCAATGGTAGCTTAATTACTATTTTATTTGATTGATGTTAGAAGACAAAATGCGTCACAACACGTGCTTTCTGCAGATAATAGGTATATATCACATTAACAGATGAGGATAGATCTGATTTCATCATGAAAACAAAATGATATATTTTGCATTTGATAAACCGTTGTTGATCGTGCAATTGTTAATTACTTACCTTGTGACGAAGAAGTCACATTCATAGCACTCTAAAAAGATGATAATGTCTTTCAAAACAAGGACTCATGTAGAGCACCCACCGAAATTGATACCTAACAAGCCACCATTAGTCATAAATAAAAGATAGATTTGACACTATATATTGTCAGAACGTAGTGCGGTTACAATGTTTCAAATGCTCATGAAGCAGATTATACTTACACCAAAGTCTAAGTCTCATGAATCACGATTCTATATCAGCATTAAAATATTATTAGCGTGTACTACCACTATAGGAAAGTACAGCTTGCATTAATATATGGCGTGCGAATTTACCAAGTTTATGAAAGATTCAGGAGAAAGAGGGAACACCGATTATGCTACCTCATGTAGACCATTTCCTTGGCTATTTTTAGCACGGGTTCTGCTACGTTCATACCATGTTTATGCTTGCCACGGTATGTTGCAGTATGACTCTATCTAGTCAATGTCCATGCGGATAATGGATTACACACCTCTAACTGAGTTGTCGCATGCCAAAGAATTACTCAAGTCAGTAGTAAAATATAGATTGTCAAGTACTAGATATGCAGCAAAATGAAAAACTCAAAGGAAGATAAAGGTGGAAAGGAGAATGAGTGGCCCACTAAAAAATGCACGATGTTGTTTTAAATAAATAGTAGTACACTTGATTGAAAACCAACCAATTTAAATGACTCATTAATGCTATACAGATCGACAATGATCTTAAGAGTGTAAATTTGATTTAAAATTTAGATAAGTAGGACAGACATAGTAGCATCATCCTGTCCCTTGTGGAAAGATAACATCATATGTCTGAGTTTTTAAGTGATATATTGTAAACTTATTTACAATATATCAGTTCATCAGTATAAAATGTTTTACATTATCAGTTCATCAAAACTCTCATATAATTTTGGAGACATAATTAATGAAGGTTTGAATTTATATTTATGATGCAGATCAATAAATGTAGCATACAAGTTTATATAAAAAAGGATCATGTCTCATGTGTGCTTCTTGGGACCATGTATTTTTAATGCGCAGAAGACAGCCCCAGGAGGCTTATGTTGTTGTTGTGTGGCCATGATAGTTGCAAGGCCCAGGTGTGCCTCAAAATTTAAAAAACTGCACAGTACCTGAACCTAAAAGGGTGAGTTGCCAGCAGTAACCCACCCACTAAAGTGTTTTTCAACCTCCCATACCAGTAATGGCCAATTTTTTGTCTTTAAAATTGGATTCACCAAAAGATCCATTAAGAAACTTAAAGAAATGTATTTGAGGAAATACTGTCTTAGTGGGAGCAACATAGTCATAGTCTTTGTGTATTCTTCCAACGTCATCTACACTCAAAATCATGAGTGTTGGATTACATGCCCATACGACTACAAACCCACTAAAACAAGTTCCTTTGTCTCTTCCACTGTACAAAACAACTCCCTAATAGTTCAACATCCTCTTCTAGAGCTATTTAGAGTCCCCAAATTCATACTTCCGCTCTGGCAGGGAATCTTTACAGGCGTTTCTGCATGCATTCTAAGATATATATATACTCACCATTGTTGCTAGTGGCTTAGCTCATCACCCTGTATGTAGGGTAATGATATCTTAATTAGGGGGTAAGTATTTACTCAAAGTATTGCTTTCCTTTACACAATTGTATTTGTATTTATTTATTTATAACTTTCTAAATTTTAGTTAAGGGTGTTCCTCACCTAAAATAAAATTAAATTGTCCCTGCTACTTGTAATTAATATGCAAAGAAATTGGTGGTGTTATTACCTACTGAGGTAGGAAGCAAACAAGTCTGGGTGTCTCCAGCTAAAACTTCTTCAAAAACATTTTAATGAAAAAGAAATAAAAAAATTTATGAGTTAAATTAATTAGTCAAATATTAAATTTAGACAGATTAATACAAAATAATTTTGTAATTTAATTTATGGATATGCTAATTTTAATTTATAAATTAGTTTATTTTTTAAAATTACTCATACTTTAAAACACACAATAAGATTGGAATGAATTAACAAATGACAAAATTTAACATAATTGTTAGATAAATTAGTCTTAAGTATAGTTTTAACCATTTGTTAATTAGGAATGATGTTATAAATATTGCAGCAGTACTAATTGAATACAAGGTAGACCAGTATTGATAAAATACTAATACTAATAATAATAATTAAATAATATATAAAAATATAATTTTATAATATTAAAATTAAATATAACACATTTTTTTATAATCTTTAACCTTCAAATCACACATATAATTAAACTTAAATCAAATATATCATAATACTTAAGTTTAAGTTTCATATTACAATATAAGATTCACTGATAATAACAAGTTTAAATCTAAAATAAATGAAAAAAGATTAGGAAGAAAATAAAAATAACTCTATCTTAAACATTTCTATTGACCCATTGTAAACTAAATATTCACCAAATTTTAACCAGTATTTTTTTTTTTTAAAATGTATGCACGATAATATCAAATTAAGAAAAAATATTACTAAATTATTTAATCAACTACACACATAATAATAACAATAATTACACTTAAAAATAATAATTTATGCAAATTATATTATCTAAAATTTATAATTATAATAATTGTATACTTTGAAATTTAGTTTATTATAACTTAGGTTATGCTTATAAATGTTTGTGTTGATAATTATGATTGCATCAACATGAATGTACTGGATATGTTAATTGAAAAATATATACTAGAAATTATTTTCACAAAATGAGTTAACTTTAGAAATGATAATCTCATTTAATCATGTTTTAATACACAAATAAAAAATAATAATTTATTATAAAGTTATAGTCTAGGTTATTATCTAATTAATGATATTGAATTAATTACAAATATATAATTCAAAAATGATTGTTTTAGTGGATAAATAATTTATCATAATGATTATAATTTTTTTTTATTTTAAGCATAATAAATGATTGAATTAGATATAAAATAATATAAAAATTATATATAAATTTTTATCTTTTATTTTTTAAAATTTGTTTCTCTTAAAGAGAAAGGTTATGTAGGTAGGATAGAGGTAGTTAGATAAGGAATCAATTTTTATTTTTTTTTCAAAAGTATCTCTTATCAATAGTATTTTCATTTCCATTCATCTTATTAATCAAGAACATAGAAAATTGAAACAAGAAGATTAAGCACTGCAATTTCCAACACTAGGGGACCACGAGAAGCAATAAGTGGTTGAGGTCCAGCCATATATATATATTTTGATTGTCAAGTCAAACACCTGTCTTCAAGGATAGGAAGAGAAATAGAAATGAAATAGGGATGCTTAGGAAAGGCAGAAATTTTGTTTGCCACTGTTTATCTTACCAAAAATTTGTTCAGATCTCTTCACTCCTTTGGTGATCTTGTGCAGAGTGCAATGCTACTCCATGAATCCATGTCCATTTGTCTATCCAAGCGCCAACGATTTAGTAAATTGGAGACAATAATCAATGCATGTGTCTCTATTTTCCCATCGATTTGTCTCTCTCTATTTTTCCACTGCTTTCTCTATCTCATCTTCTTTTGTTGCTCTGTCTAGTCATTTACTCCCTCTTTCTAAACCATACTCACCTACATATCTGCAACTTCTTCCTTGCATTAAAACATTTGTGCAAGTTACAGCTTCTAATTATTCATTAATTAGATGGAAAATACAAAAAGTTCAATTAAAATCAAATCTGAAATCTCAATGAATAAAAGTTTTCTACTCGAAATCTCCATGCATTCTTTTTCTTTTCATCATTCTCCTAAGTCAAATAGGACTATCACTTTTCCTTTAAGAAGAATCTACTCAGAATATTCCAAATTATTATACATTTAGTAAACAAAAGAGTGAAGTGAGGTGGAAAAAGCTCTTACAAAATTTCAAAAGTAATAAATTATGGAACAGAATCGAGGACCCCAATATTTGTTCTTCAGCAGAAAAATCTCACATCTTTAATGCAAATAAATAAACTGTGATTTAATGCAAATAAATAAACAGTGATATACTGAATTTGGGACCCCAACTATTCCATTTTTCAAGACCCTTGAGTCCCAATCTATTTTGTGGTCTTGTTACCGAGGTTGTGTTGCTTCCTTCCTGGACGTGAAAAGGTTTCAAGCATGTTTGTTCTTTATTTATATATATATATATATTATTCTTTTTGAAAATAAAAGAATATCACAATTTCATCAAACCCTTTTCTTTATTTATCATCAATGAAATGATAAGAATAATTTATTTTATTATTAATTTTCATTACCTTTCACATTTATTTTTCTTATAAAACTTATAACTTAAAATATTTTAAATTTCTAAAACACAGAAACAATTAGAGTATAAGGATATATAAAGTAGTAAGGACATAAACTTGGTTTATAAGACAAACAAAATATTGTATATATTTATTACTTGATACTAATAAAATTAACTTCATTCATATGATATCCTTATATAAAAGAAAATGCTATATACATCAAGTTTTTCAGGCTACAGGTAAAAATTACTTTTTTTACTTTGCGGCCAAAACAAATATTTGACTAGTTAGTTTGTTTTATCGCGTATTTTGATTTTTATATAAATTTGTAATACAAATCTCCACGTACAAAATTATCTTCTCTTTTAAACTTGAGGTACCCATGCAATAAATTTCATAACCAGTTAGTTTAATCAGTATTTTTTTTAATGAAAGTATATAAACTCAATTTGGACTTTCTATCTCAATTTAAGAAAAGATTTAAAGGGCAAAAAGAATTAGACTGAGATGTGCCTATCTGTTTAGAAAATGATTCTTTTTTGTCAATTCCTATTATATAATTAAAATACATAAAACAATTACTTCAATGGGATGCCTTTCTATTCTATCTAAGGTAAAAGCCTCCCAAGTTTCAATGAAAAAGGAATCAAAGAACTTAGCAAAAGTTCATTTTAACATGACAAAATGGAGTTATCAACAAAAAGATATCACACAATTTCCCATTAAATATTTATCATTTCATAAAAGTACTGACCAGAGATAACCTTTTTATAAACATTAAAGCAAAACATTGTTTAAAATGGTGCCAAATTTAATTATTTCCTAAAAATTCAAAATTTCGTAAACATATGAATTTTGTAAGATATAAATTTGATGCACCAATTAATATGTAAAACAATTTTATAAAATATATTGCACATTATTCAGATGATAAATAACATATTAAAAATAAAATTTATGTAAATTTTTTAAGATATTTTAAGCCACAATAATTTTAAATTAACTAGTACATATGTAATTTTAATTAATACAATTAAAAACTGAATCCAAGTATTTTTAATTAAAGTTAACTTATATTTTTATTTATTTATTTATGTCTCTCTCTATATATATATATTTATTTATTGTAGTTTTCATATTTTTTTTATACAGTCAACAAATATATTAATTGATTTTTAAATTATTCAATATATACTAACTAAAAACAAAAGAAAAAACTAAAACTTATGTAATTAATAATTAATAGAGTCAGATGTATTAAAATTGATTGTAGATATTATTAGCTAAAACAGTTAATATTTATATGTTGAATATTTTAAGGTATATTACCTGTAATAACTCTGCATTCATTAATATAACGAAGATAAAGTCATTTTATTTTTTCATTAGCATTGTAGTTATCTATTTTAATATAGGATGACGACTCATTTGTTTAAGGAATTGTTTTTAATCTTTGCCAACATGTTACATTTAAGCAATCTAGTACATTACAAGAAAGTACCAACAACTTCCCACAGTAAAAAACACTCAAGATATATTTTATTATTTAATATAAAAAGTTGTGGATAATCAATGTTTTCAATAGAAAAAAATTATATTTTTTTTCATTTTTATGATAATAAATAACCGGTTTCAATTATATTAGTTATTAAACATTATTTATTTATTGAAATTTATTAAAATATTAATTATTTACCTATTAAGTTGTATTTTTTAGAACAATATTTTTTATAAAAAAACACAAATCAAATAAATATTAATTACATATATCAATAAAAATTGAATAATGATAAATACATACAAACTAACATAATAAACTAACAATCGGAAATTTATGGGTGATGCATGCAAAACCTTTTAATTGTTTATATAAAGCAAACTTATGTGTAATTCACTGGTATCTTCATATATAAGTTATGACAGATTGATTTTATTCACCTTCTCATCGTCATTTTTTCAGTCTCGTAAACTAGAAATAGGTTGAATTTCAATGGATTTAGTTTCATGCGGGTATTTCTTCCCCTTAATAAGGCATGGATTTCTTATATACTTGATTAGACATCTTTTCCTTTACATTTTCTTACGTGCAACTCATTGATTTTATCATTACTTTGGCGTACCAACTTTAGTCATTTGATTTCGTAATTGGATAAGAGACTTAATATTCTCAAGAATCACCACAATATTGAACTTAAAAAAAAAAAAAAATGTCGCAAATCTTCTTCAAGGATAATTTTAACTATTAAGGGTAAGAAGTATAACTCTCTTAACATTTTGTATCAAGAAACTTTGTAGTTTCTATAAACTCTGAAGTGGTAAACGTTTATTTTATTTTTTTCATGTTTGATATATGTTTTAAAATGTAATATTTATATGAAAAATGTTTTCTAGAATATTGTTTGGTGTTTCTCACAATTTCTCTTATAAAATATATGAGAATCTAACATTATTTTGAGTTTAAAAAATTATTTACAATGATAATAATATAAAGATATTTTTCTTATTAAAAAATATTACATTAGTTTTAAATTTATAGAAAAGCTTATATAGAATATTTTAATAAACCAGACCGGTTTTAGTTATCCCATTAAATATATAAAATATTTATTTTATACCATACACCCCTAACTTACATATTAGATATTTATTTTTATCTTTGAAAATCTAATGATTCTTATCAAGTCAATTCTGGTTTGGTTGGTAGCTGTGCAATGGCCTAGGACTTACAAGAAAAAAAGTCCAAAATTTTAATTTTTTTCATATAGTTATATAATGATTTATTATTAAATTTTATGTTATTTTTTGTATTTAGATTAGAATTACTGTTTTAAAATACAATATATATAATTAATAAATATTACATTGACGTGCAATAGTTATAAACATAAAAATATATACTGAATAAATTTTTAATTCATTTTATAATATATGAAAGATAGAATGAATTTATAATAATATATTTAAAAGTAATTTTTTTAATAAAATAAAAAACATAAATAAAAACTTAAATTTTATAAATAACATAAGGTTATATAATAATAAAAACCAAAAAACATATAAGTTTAATTTGAAAATAATTTTATTTGTATGTTCAGCGATGATGACGAGCTGCAACATTTAAAAAAATTATAATTCAAAAATAATATTTTTGATATGCCAATAGCTTTAAATAAATAAAAAGTATCACGTATTTCTTATCTATTTATACAAATCTAACAAATGCTAATGGAAATGTATTTTTTAAAACCTGTTGTGAAAAGAAAAATTAAAGAGTTATGTACTTAATATGTTTGTGAATATATATATATATATATATATATATATATATATATTAAATATTTATGTTATTGTTTTTAGATATAATTGAATAAGATGTTAAGATAAATGTACAAAAATAAAAAGTAGTTCTTCTAAAATTATTGTAGAAGTAATATGAATACTAGTGTAATCATAAAATTATATAGAAATGATAAAAACAATTTTAATTAATTAATTTTAATAATGTTATAATTAAATTTGGCTACTCATGCTCTCATCTATTTTCACACGGCTTCTCTCTCTTTTGGCCAAGATCCTCTCTCTTCTGCATATATAAAATCTCTTTCAGATTCCATCATGACACACCTTTCTCCACCTTTTCCTCTCCACAAACTCACTCTCTTCATCCAAAATGGTGAAGTTCTCAAAGGAGCTAGAAGCTCAACTCATACCCGAATGGAAGGAGGCCTTCGTCAACTACTGGCAGCTCAAGAAGCAGATTAAGAGAATCAAGCTCTCAAGGGTTCCCAAACAATCTCACCACCATGTTAAACCACACTTTGCTCTATCCATTTTTGATTCCTTTCACTTCTATCTCAACAAAATCGCTCACACTCTCCTGCCTTCCGACCACCATGATCTCAACATCATCCAGGTACATGATTCACACAAACAATAACATAAACATAACATTCATAACTTCACTTCCCTCTTCAGTTTCTGTTTAACTGTTTATCGCTTCAAGCGACTTTGATTAATGTTATCCACAAATTTTCTGCTAATTGTTTTGCGTCTCTCTCTCTGCATAGCTCTCTATCTTTTGTCTTCTATTCTTTCATTCAAGAAGAAAACTACTTAAGAATATGATGCGTTTATTTTGTTTGATTGAAAAAAATTCAAAAGGAAAAAAATAGTTTTAGTAACTTTTTTTTTCTGTTTTTTGTTCAATTCAAATCAGAGAGATGAGGATGATTTAGTGCATGACTTCACTGCATGAACAGTGAACAAAACAAATGTCACGTCTTTTTTCTGAGAACGATGTCCAACAGGCTGATTTTTGTATGGTACGGTGATTAATGTGAATAGAAAATAAAAAATAATAATAATGTGATTGGCAAAATTGTGGTATATCATACTTTGTGTATTTGTAGTTGAAATGAAACCAAGTGAAATGTCATTTGTACTGTGTCTGGTCCAATGAAATTCCCAGAAATCACCCATGTTTGATATAAATAACAATAAATAATTTAAGAATCCACTTCTGATTGATTAACAAGTGTCTTGGAGAATATTTATTAAAAAAAATAATAAATATTTAGTTTGTATGACAAATTATATGATAAAATGCACTAACCATCATAATAAATGTTTTAAGCTTACTTCTTATCATTGAATAATTGAAGATAACATATTTATGACACAATAATCAATACTTATATATGCATGAAGTTATAAGTTCCTGTTTTTAGGGTCTTTAAGTTTAACAATTACATGTCATGGATCACTTAGACATGAGTGAAATTGATATTTGATTTTTTTTGAAAAGTGAATGGTAATAAAAAAGAAGTAAATACAATGAATGGTTAACAAAAAATAGGAAAAGTTGGGGTTAATGTAGCAAGGTGAGCATGGTGTGGGGTTAAGTACTAAATAAAGTGGGTTTAGTGGCCCTCCTTTTTTGTGAAACCCTTTTCTGCTTTCTTTTGGGGAGTTTCTCAATCTCTCACGAAAGCCACCAACACAGTTCTCGCGTTTGTGGATCCATGTGTGCCACTAGCGTGGCAACATAAACAATTTTTTATCAAAAAAATCATCTTAAAGCACAAAAATTAGAAAAGATAAAAAATAACTAAATATGGATGTAGGTGAGGAAGAAAACCACAAAGGACAGTGAGGAAGAAATCTACGAGACAGAGCTTGCACAGTTATTTTCGGAAGAGGATGAGGTACGTTAATTTCTTAATTTTTTTTAAGATAATTTATGTATATAATATGTTGTTGCAGTCACATGAAGACATTTATGATTGTTGTCGTTATTGTTCAGGTACGTGTGTTTTTTATGAGTCTGGATGAAGAGCTAAACAAGGTCAACCAATTTTACCGGAAACAAGAGGGAGATTTTCTTGAGAGAGGAGAAACTCTGAACAAGCAGCTTCAGGTTTTGCTTGACCTCAAGAAAATTATCAGTGACCGTCGCCGGAAAACTTCTCCGTCGAAGCCATATAGCACCGGAACATCCCCTCCATATTCTCCAACCCGAGATTCTGATTATTCCGGTCAGCTTCTTCTTCATATAAAGGAGTTGATTGTTATTTGTCTTCATTACTGTTATTCTATATACTATTTATTTCTCTCAAGAAATTGGATCTAAGAAGTTTGATTTCTGCTAAAACAATTTCCTAGTGTCAATTTGTGTTTTTTTAGTGCTTGCTGACATCATACAACATACTGCCATAGATATTGTATGTCTACGTGGACCAGAATTTGGAACAATGTCGACCCATCACATACTTCATATACAACATATAATAAATCTTAATTAAAAGGAATAGTATTTGCATATTTTTTACGTAAATTATTATTATTTTTCAGATTACAGAATAAAAAAAAGACATTTAAACATTTTCTATTTCTCAAATAAAGTTTAAGCACTGTATAATTACTTAATGTGTAGATAAGGTTTTTCAAAATTTAAAGGAAAAAATCATTACAGAAATAAAAGATTGGTAAATAAAAATAGAATAGAGAAATAAACGATTTCTATATTCTTTATATGTGATATATGGCTTAGTTGCATGGTTATAATAGTTTGTGCAGAAAATTTTGGAGATTCCGATGAAACAACTTCAGAAGTTTCACAAACGGATGAGGTAATCACAAGATTAGAGAAAAATGGTATAAGTTTTGTTAATTCAACGACGAGGGCAAAGACGAAGAAAGGAAAACCTAAAATGGCAATGAGAATTGATGTTCCAGCCACGAACCCAACTAGGGCCATTACGGCCATCACTAGCATGCTGTGGGAGGATTTAGTCAACAATCCAACGGGAGATTTCGTTCAGAAGAGAAAGCTCCAATGTGCTGAGAAAATGATCAGAAGTGCTTTTGTGGAGCTCTATAGAGGCCTTGGCCTGCTCAAAACTTACAGGTTCTTATTTTACATCTGATATATTCAAACTAGTTCCTTTGATTAAGTTTATACATTTAGTCTGAATCTTCAATATTTTTGAAAGTTACTTTGAGACTCAGATAATTTAAGTGGAAATGAGTAAGTAATCTAAAATTGTAAAACTTCATAACTCTCTACCTTTTCTATATTCATGATAGAAGGTTTGAACTGAAAAGTTTACTTAGAAAAATCAAACTTCTTAACATTCATTTCAATAGGGTGGTACTCGTTGTTTTTAGTATAATCAGCATTGTGCCGTTTGCGGGTAAAAATGAAAAATCCTTAGAGAAAAGGGAAATTGATTTGATGTTTATCTTGGTCAAAATTGGAAAGAATATATAGAAATGTGATTCATGGCTCTTGACAACATCACGTAAGGTTTTTGGATGGATAGAATAAATGAAGGTAGGTGTGATGGTCACGTATAGAATAGATCTATTCGCACAATATATCACTCAATATTTATGGTATGATTTTAGTATTTCCTTATAATTAAGTTAATCCTATTTAATATTTAGAAAACTGTCTTGTTTTATAAAATTGTGCATTTATTATCATTGGTTGCATTATATGAAAATGGGACAAGATGTTTCTGTTAATTAGGATCTATAAAGCTAACTTTTGCACACACTTGCAAATAGTGGCCAACAAAACCAAATTTCATTTCTTATCATCAAATATTGTTTTACTTTTTCATTTGGTTTTCCTTTTTTAAGTCCATAATTTCTTTTGAAATGCTTATTTATCTATTTATTTGTTTTCACTCTTAAATACAATGGGGTAGCTTATAGATTTCCAAATAAAAGGGACGTAAGAGAGACTTAATTTTATATATATATATATATATATATATATATATATATATATATATATATATATATATATATATACATGAGAAACTGGAAAATAAAATTCTATTTTTAGAATTTTTTTATTTAATTGCAAAGAATGTTTAGAAAATCCTAGCAAGAAGATTATGCTACTAATTATATAAAAGGTTTCCCAGAATGCATAATGAGTGAGCTGAAGGATAAAAATATCAATCACTTTCTCACAAGTTTTGTAATCAAAGAAATTATGAAAGGTGCTTTTTCATTTGAACACAACTTCGTTACCTTCAGTAATATGCAAGAATAAATGCTTCCAAAGATTTGACAAGATAAAATGGAATTATGAATATTAATAAAACATTTTTACTTTCCCCCCAAAAAAAATCAATGTATCCGTTTGAACATATGTATGTATATGAGAAAAACATTACATATACTAGACAATGAAATGAAAGACTATATGTATAAAAAATGTCATACATATGAGCTGAAACTTAATATATTGCGATATAGAGATATAAATTGATTAAAATAATATTAAATATAATATTTAAAGAAAACACAATAATAGTTATTTTTTAAAATAATTATATATACCAATCTAGAATACATGAGGGTATAAAAAATTTAACATTATTAATATATATTCTAACTAAATTTCATATATTTACGATTTGACTCTAGATTAACCTTCGTTATAGTAAAAACCTTTAACAAAAGTTAAATATGGTTAAATATGAACTATTAGTATAATGTATCATATCGTAAGACATATTCACAATATCAATACTAACTAGATTTCATTTAGATAGAAATTATATGATTGAGATAAATACTTTTAACATATAAGAAATGTCACTTTTTATACTGTGAATTAGGCCAATGACATGCCATAATGTTTCTCTACATGAATATACAAAGCTAGTGTGTAATATTAATGATAAAGTGTCGTATACTAATAAGTATTCAAATTATATCTTTTATTAGAAAATTTGTCTAAAAAATTATGTTGCGATATATATATATATATATATATATATATATATATATATATATATATATATTTTTTTTTTTTAACAAATAAAATTATGCATTAATATACATTATATTATTGGTATAAATATTATTCAATTTTATTTGAAAACATTTTTTAATAAAAAAATCGTGATATTGAATATATTTGAACATTAAAAAAGAATTATGATATTCAATCAACGTTAGAAGCTTATATTTATCATAATTTTTTTAAGGAGAAAAAAATATGATAGTATTGAAGTGTGGTTTTAAAAAACTAAAAAAAGAATTATCTTATATTCAAAATTATGTTAATTTTAATTTATTATTTTGTTGATTGAATTTTTATAAAACTTATATGGATTTTTATTTACATACATAAATGTCATTCTCACGAAATAATTTTGAGATAGTTTTATTTAAATATGTGAGACTTTTCTACTTTATTTATTTCTGTTATTTTTTTTATTATATTTTAATTACTAATTTTTTATGTTTTATTTATGTATGCTACTTTGATAAGATAATATTATGACATAATAATTATTTATTCATCGAAATATGAGATTTCACAACATGGGTTTATTTTTTAAATGCATTAAATCTTCAAAATTCTTATAAATTCAATTTTTTTTCAAATATTATAATTCATATATTATAAATATTTTAAAATTCGAATTACCAAGTTCTAATAATGATTTTATTGAAAAAGATTTAAAAAAATTTATTTTTAAAAAAATATTGTAAAATATATCAACTTTTTTAATGAAAGAAAAAAGTCTTCAGAAATCTCCATTAAGTACATACATCTTTAATGAATGTTAGAGGACATATTAATGTGTGTTAGAATTTTTTTTACGGTGAACTTATGTTTCGTATGAGCTAATTATTGTATACTTATGAATGTGATTCAATCTTATACTTCTTTACGAAATATGTTATTGAATGATGCGATTTATAGGCCCGTGTTCCTTAACCATAATTAAGAAATATCGATTTAACATGGGACTTTTGTTAAAAAAATATTTATTAATAAACTCAAAATTTAAATTTAGAAGTGTTAGTCTTGAATCGAATCTGATATATTTAACGAATGAGCAACTTCTAATGTCACAATCTCTCGTTTTGGCAGCTCACTGAATATGGTAGCATTTACAAAAATATTGAAGAAATTTGACAAGGTACGTATATGGCTTAACAATATCTTATCCTCTTTACAATTCGTGCATTACGCAGCACAAACAAGGATTTGATGAGATTTTATTTTCAATACATTTTGCTATACATGCTTTGATCACTATCTTTAGCTTAATATTTGCAATGGTAGTGCTTAAGTTTTTCTTACATGAAAGTGATGATGAGAATATTAAACTATATAGATATGCATGATGAAAAAGATGAAGCAGATTTCCTAGCCCCACTTAACTTTGACTTATAGTACACATGACTTAAGTATAGTGTGATAGCACCACTATATTTCTTTTGTCCATTCTCCTTTTCAGTGATGGAGTCACATCTTATGTTTATGTCCAAAACTGCTTCCTACACATATTTAAATTCAATTAATCAATAATTCGCCGTACAGCTGTTTGGCGCGTCAAATGAATACGCATCAAAAGTTGTGATCGACCTAAAAGTTACACATGTCTGCTATTTACTTTGGTTAAGTTGGCATTGGTAATTTATGAACTCTTAAACAAATTAAAATCATATTGTGTTCTGATGGAGCAGGTATCTTGTCAAAAAGCTTCTGCAAATTACTTAAAAGAAGTGAAGAGATCCCATTTCGTTAGTTCTGACAAGGTACATTTTGGTTTCGTCTTCCAAATGCATTCAATTCAAAAGTTAGTAAAAGAGAAAAAAGGATAAGAAAAGTAAAACGCATTGCATTCGACTTTAAATCTTTTGATTTTGGCCTTCTCTGATCTTGATGTGGAGAATGGATATAATTCTAACAAGTGGTTATCATTATAATAATTTGGTTTTGTAAGGTTGTTAGACTAATGGACGAAGTGGAATCCATATTCACCACGCACTTTGCCAACAACGATAGGAAAAAGGCAATGAAATTTCTAAGACCCCAACAACATAAAGATTCTCATATGGTCACCTTCCTTGTCGGTAATGCCTCTCTCTCTCTTTTCATATTTGCATGACACTTAACATTGACTAACACTGTCAAACTATTTTACGCACAGTGACAGTAACGTCACTTATTAGAATTCAAATGGCTATGCAATGTCTCAGTTGAGCACTGCATGTAGCAAAAGACAAGCCAAATAATATTTTGATGTAGTGCTATTTGCCTATGCTTAGTGGCCACCAATTTGAACACTGCATGGACCTACCAAGCTGATGGATCAAATTTGACTGTCTCTGCAGGGTTGTCTACAGGATGTTTTGTATCCTTGTTTTCTGTATACGCAATCTTGGCCCATTTGTGCGGTATATTCTCCGCAACTAACGAGCCAGCTTACATGGAAACAGTCTACCCCGTTTTCAGGTTACTTCATATTCTTCACCTTTAACATATTTCATACATTATCTCTTTTCCGTGCTATTCTACTCCACATCATAACTTAATCGCTAAAATAGTACATGTCAGGTAGGAATTTGTTCTGCAATCCGAACAAAATGTTGAACATAAAAAGATTAAGTTGAAAAACCAGTTTGAAGTTAGCTCTTACTAGTTCATCTATATTAGACACTCTTAAATTGTTACATAGCTACCAAATCTAAAAATGAGTTTAAAATTTTTCATAAGTAGATTACAAAATCCAATTTTTTCTAAACTCAACTTATAATTATAAATCATGAAACTGAATGTATTTAAACTAGGTAGTTTTTAAAAACTCCCCTAAAAATCTAATTTGCAGAATTTTAGACAGAAATATGTATATGATTGGTGTACTAATGGTTACAATGATTTTGTGCAGTGTATTTGCATTGTTAAGTCTGCATTTGTTTTTGTATGGATGCAACTTGTTCATGTGGAAGAATACAAGAATCAATTACAATTTCATATTCGAATTCTCACCGAGCACAGCACTAAAGCATAGAGATGCATTCCTAATAAGCACTACCTTAATGACAACTGTGATTGGGGCAATGGTCGTACATCTGCTTCTAAGGGCTGCTGACTTTTCTCCTGCTCAAATTGATGCCATTCCTGGAGTTCTTCTTTTGGTTTGTCTAATAATTATTGATTTCCCTTGTTAATTTATAAGACTAGCTTAGTTAGCTTGAAATTTTGAAGAGTAACTTATACTGATTAAGAAATTCCATTTTCAGTTTTTCATAGCATTGCTCATTTGTCCATTTGACATTTTTTATCGTCCCACACGTTACTGTTTCATCCGTGTTATTCGCAACATAATATGCTCTCCCTTTTATAAGGTAACCTTCCCTCATTTCATTTCTTGGAACAACTAGATACTAGTAATGTCACATACGTTGAAAACTGAACGTGACATTTTCTATAATTATTATTTTATATTTACACAGGTTTTGCTAGTAGACTTTTTTATGGCCGACCAACTTACTAGTCAGGTGATCTTAACCTACTCTAGTTTGTTTGTTTCTTTTCTTTTCTTTTTTTCTTTTTTTCTTTTTTTTTTCACTTTCAATTCTTATTTTATATCCTAAATAACATTAAATTGTATTTTATTATTGTGAATACAGATTCCATTGTTAAGGCATTTGGAAACTTCAGGTTGTCACATTTTTTCTAGAGTCTTCAAAACTCACCACCCTGAGGTCTGTCATTCTGGAAGATTATATATGGAAATAACTTATATCATCTCCTTTTTACCATATTTTTGGCGGGCTTTGCAGGTAAATTTAGGATACAGAAATTGACTAATTATAGATTCTCTTTTAATATTGTAGACTAATTAAGTGCTTTAAGAATTAGAGATATGTTACATAGCTTATTAAATTTCTCCTATATTAAGTATTTCCCATCATTTTATATACCTACCCATGTTTCTTGAATGTCCTTGCTAGTGTGTGAGACGATGGTTTGATGATGGTGATGTGAACCATTTGGCTAACATGGGTAAGTATGTTTCGGCAATGGTGGCAGCTGGGGCTAGAGTTACATATAGCAGACAACATGATCATCTATGGTTTGCTATAGTCTTAATCACTTCTGTGGTGGCTACAATATACCAACTTTACTGGGATTTTATCAAAGATTGGGGATTTCTTAATCCCAATTCCATAAATCCATGGCTTAGAGATGATCTAATTCTAAAGAATAAAAGCATATACTATATGTCTATGGTAAGCTTTCTTTACTTTTAGATCTGAAATTTACAATCACAAGTTTTTTTTTCATAATAAAGTGATATTGGATTTCAGGCCGTGAACGTTGTCCTGAGAGTGACATGGGTGGAGACTATCATGCACTTCAAAATAGGACGTGTTCAGTCACGATTATTAGATTTTGTATTAGCTGCACTTGAAGTTATTCGAAGAGGTCACTGGAATTTCTATAGGTATATTCTATCATATTTAGAAAAGCGAAAGATTTTTTTATCTCCAAAATTTCCTTCTTGATAGTACTCAACGTAGACTTTAAAAGGTCAATCACATCCAAATGTAATGTTTCCTAATAAACAAGTCCTATTAAAACCCCGTACCATTAGGAAGAGGCCTAGAAAAACTTTGTCTCTAATATGGTGGGAACAATGAGGTCACTAGAATGGACTGATAAATGATAATAAAATGGTTTTGAGTTCTCTGATGCTAAACATCTTAAAACCTAAAGCTTAACGTTGGTTCTCCACAGTTGTTAAACAGAGAACAAAATCACTCATGAACTTACTGGTAACTTGTGTGAACAGGTTGGAAAATGAGCATCTAAATAACGTTGGTCATTATAGGGCAGTGAAGACAGTTCCACTTCCATTTCGAGAGACAGACTCTGACTAATGAGCTGATTTTCTTGTACAAGTGTCTTGTAGACATGCTAACAAAGGAAGAGGCTTGCAGTGTAAAGAATAAAGAGAGGAGGAGGAGGAGGAGGAGGTTCAAGTATGTTTCAAATTTATTGCCTCTTTTTTAGGCCAATGGACATGTTAAAAATCGTAAAAAATGTAATTGTTACTTTCTTCACGATTTTAGTTGGTAAATATTGAAATGTTAGTGGTGTTTAAAATATCGTTTGTCTGGCTAAACAAATTTATTTAATAAGTTATGGAACATGTTTCAACTTGTAAAAGTAAAACAACTTTTTCCACTAAATTTGTTTGAATTTCAACACTCTTCCAAATGACTTTTTCCTATGATGCAAATCTCAAAATCATCCCACATGTCTTCAAAACTCTTCTGAGTACTTTGGTGAATATAATTGCAACTTCACCTTCATATTGCTAATATAGCTATTGCCAACGTAACCTCTTAGTACGTTTCATTTGGTAAAATGATATAATGCATTTCCACATGCTTGGTTCCCTATTCACAAAATAGGTTTGTAGGCACCATGCAAACCAAAATTTAAAAACAAAAAATCTGAACGGCCGTTTTTGGTTTACAATCAAGGATACTTTTGTTTGATATATTGAAGAGAAATTTACTTCTTCTTCCAATTTATTTAAATCATTTGTTGCTCAGGAAATTAGTCGTTCCTAATTATTTTGAAATAAGGAAGAACAATAAACATTTTTTTTAAACTCGACAATAAAATTCTTTGCTTTTACGTGTATCTGTAATAAAAAAATCAAAATCGTGTATTTTGTTTTATATATACAAATGTTCGTATTGATATTTCTATTTTTAAAATAGCTCTGAATTTTATTTTATTTTTAACTTAAGGATCCCGTCATAATCAAATGGAATCTGCATTCAAAATTATTATCATTATTTTTCAATATCTAACGTATCCAAAATGGTTATTATTATACCTTTATTTTTAATTATTTTATTAAAAGGGATCTCTCTATGGCAAAATATAAATGTTTATCCAAAATTATTATCATTAAACATTTTAAGACTTTGCAACAACTAAACAGAAAAGTGCATATAAGATGAGCGGCACTAAACCTTCTATTTTGTGTTTTTTTTAATCGCCAACAATGAATAAAATTAATAGAAGTACAAAAGGATACTTCAACCTATATACAGCAAAAGGAAACAAAAGACAGAAAGAGCAAAAACATGTTAGGTCGAGCAATTAAGCTCACAAATGTTCACGAACACAATTTTAATAACCCGAATATTACAAAATGAGACTAACTTCTGCTATGTTCCTATCAGTAACATAAATACTGTCAATACTAATATATGGACCTAATAATTAATCTCCGGATGCTCCCGTCCTCCGTCACCTTATGAGGATTCTCGTTCTTATATTAGAGTTTCATGCTTTAACCTGCTAACACATATACTAGCTATTACATATTAGAGATAAGCTATATAGTTATTAGTCTCATGCACCCTTATCGGTTAGAACCAGTCTGAATTTGGTATACTCGCTTCATCCCAGTCTCTAACACACCATGCTATGAATTTTGAGCTTGCTTTACTAAATCTTACTTCCGCATCGAATTTCTCATTTTTTAAAATGCACTTGTTCCTTTAAGACCAGATCTCGTACACCACTACTACCCATAGTCTTTTCCACAACATATTTCCTTTCACTCCCAGTTCTCCTATTACGAAGCTTTCTAGGTTTGCTTTAGCCTCCCAATGACACACATAACTAATTCCCACCCATCTAAAACACTTGTCCCAAATCTCACTGGTCACTTTACATTTAAAAAAGAGATAATTAGATGTTTCGTCCTTATTTCCACATAGAGCGCATTTCGGATCACATATAACAACCCCTCTCCTAACTAGATTCACCTTAGTGGGGATCCTATCCTGAAGAATTCTCCACTCTATGACCATAACCTTTGGGATCCCCTTAATTTTCCAGTACCATTTGAAGATCGTTTTGTTCTCCTCATAAGTTACATTGGATAGAAGCTCAGACGTTTCTTTGACGGTAAATCCTTTATCATTGTTCTGGCCCTATCGTCACATATATTTTGTATCCTTATAAAATGTTATGCCCTGGATCATGCTTAGTAATTCCTCCTCCATTTCCTTCTCCCATTCAAACCGATGTCTTCTCCAATTGACTTTCCATTCTCATTTATTTTCAATCCATTCACCCTATTCTGATATCACCTCATCTTTGTTCACTCCTATTTGTTTCAACCGTGGGAACAAACTACCTAATCTTTGTTCTCCGACCCAGATATCATCCCAGAACCTAATTTTCTTCCCGTTTCCTATCTTCCATTTTACATATTTATCAAACCAAGTTTTATCAGCGTTCTCTTTACGTATTCTTTTTATATCTAGCCACCATTTAAAGTCTTTCTTAATGTTTACTGGTTCGTCTAATGCTCTCCAAGACTCATATTTTGCTTCTATTACTTCCTTCCATAATTCTTTTGGTTCGACATCTAGCCTCCATTTCCATTTTGCTAGTAGGGCTTCGTTCATCCTCTGAATATCCTTCATCCCTAACCCTCCATCCTCCTTTCTTGTACATATTTTTTGTCATTTAACTCACGCTATCTTTTTCCCTTCTTTACCCCACCCCCATACAAACTCCCTTTGGATCTTTGTTACTTCTTTAACCATTCTTACGGGTATTTTGAACATCGATAAGTAAAATAATGGTACCGAAAGAACTAATTTTACCAGGCATATCCTCACTGCGAAGGAGAGTATTCTACCTCTTAACCTAGAGAGTTTTTTCTTTACTTTGCTTATAACTTCATCCCAAAACTCGTACCTTCTATGGTTTCCTCCAACTTTCAATCCCAGGTATCTGAAGGGCGGTTTTATTGTCTTACAACCTAATTCTCTTGCATATCTTTCCAGTAATACAGACTCCACCCCTATACCTCCTAATTTTGTCTTTCTTAAATTGACCTTCAATCCCGATGCTACATGGAAGCATCTCAAAATTGCTTTAATTACTATAATGTTATTATGATTTGCGTCACTTAAAAATAGAGTATCATCTGAAAACTGTAGGATATTAACCAGATGTTCATTTTCCCCCACCATGGCTCCTTGTAGCTTCCCTTTTGCAACTACTTGTGTCACCATCCCAGCTAACCCTTCAACTACTACTAAGAAAAGGAATGGTGTCAAGGGTGTTGGCAAATTTTGGGTCATGTATATATATGATACATATTTAAATGTGTTAGGGTCATTATTTATTAAGCCAAATAATAAAGTGATCTAACTAAATTAAAGTTTTGGCTAAAGGCATATGTCATGAAAATAAAATTGTGTAGAGACCATAGAGCAATTTCTAATTTGATGAGGGGCCAAATTGGAAATACTAAAACTTAAGTAATTAACCTAATTCGGTTATCTAAAGGGTCATGGTCCCCTTCGAGAGCACACACACGAACGTAAGTATCGGTCCGTTCCTTTCTTTCTATCCCCATCAAGAGAGAAAATCAAGAGGGAAATACGAGTGCTCTTCGGGTGGAAGACCATAAGATCAATATAGTGCTCTACAAAGACATCATCGTTATGGCTAATTCGAGTACGCTTTCGCATTCAGTTTACGACATGTTTATCGAGTATGGGATTATGTTTATGTTTGATTGTTAGAATCAAAATCAGGATTATTATTATTATTATTATTATTATTATTAATTTTCCAACAATTGGTATCGAGCCGCCCATATTTGATTCATGTACTGTTTAATTTATAGAACCCTAATTATGAAAATTAGGATTAATTTTGTTTTAAACAATTCAGATTACCCAATTTTATGAACCCTAAGTGGAGGATAATCTCTAATTTTTGTGAACCCTTAAATTTAAATTTGGGGGTAACATCCCCAATCTGATTACGCTTGTCGATGGAGCCGGTGGAGGAAGCTATGGATTCTTCTTCTTCTTCGTTTTCCACTTTTGTTTCGAGTTTAAGTTTCAAGTTTTACTTGAGAAAGAAATAGTGTTTCATATTTCAATTTTTTCTTGTATTGGGTTCTCTGTTCTTTTTTGAATCTTTTGTTTTTATTTAATTTTATGGGTTTGGAATTGGGGGTGGTGTTTGTGGAGTTCCCAATACGAGAGAATCTTAGGTAAATGATGAATGTTTCCACATGTTTAGTTGTTATTATTTTATTGCCTCTATCCCCTAGGAATTTAAAGAAAATTTGATGTTAAATTAGGGTCCGAGTGATTACTTGTTTAATTCCCTTTTAGGATTTAGAGCAGTATGCTAAAGAGACTCGGAACTATCTCTGTTTCATCCCTAGTGTGATTTTAGGAAGATGTTCATCCTTTATGTATTGGTGGAAAATGAGACCTTTTTTCATCCTTTGATTTGTTCAAATGAGGTGTTCATCCCTAATGAGATTCTAGGGAGGTGTTCATCCTTAGTAGAATTATAATGAGGTGATTCTCTTTTGAATTAGTTTGCAAATATTAAATATTTGGTTTTGTTATATAAATAAAATATTCAATTTTTGGTAGTTTAATATTTTTTGTGAGCAAATTGAGTCAAGAAGTCACCAAAGTAACTTCTCTTGAATTGGGCAGTTCATGAAAAATATTGAATGTTAGTGTTTGTGTATATTCATGCGAGTATTAGTCGGCCCAAAGGAAGATTAATATTTGGCCGAATTGCATACACATTTGTAATGATAAACATGTGATAATTATAAGGATTTGCTTTGTCGATGATAAATCAATCCAAAGACTGGTTTGTTGTTGGACGTGCTTTATTGTCAATGTTTGATTATTACAACAAGATACCTCTAGCAGTTAATATTACTTGTCCAAAGACTTGATATTGATGGTGCATTGGGTGTCTTGAGATGGGTTAAACCATTATTTGAATATATATTTTATTTATAATTTTTTTATATAATGTGAGCATAATTAGTTTATTTCTTTTGTTCTAATCC